TCAGGATCCATCTTATCGCATGTATGTACTTTTATTATGGGGAAACTAGCCAATTTAAAAAAAATAATATTTTCCTCCAAAATGCTGAACCAACCGGCCCTTACCATTTCGGCCCGAAAGTTGAGATAACTCAAATTTTTACAATATTTGCCACTACGCCCCTTTCAAAGGGATATGGGGGTCAGGATCCATCTAATCGCATGTATGTACATTCAGTATGGGGAATTACATGTAGCCTATTCAAAAAATATAATATTTTCCTCCAAAATGCTGAACCACCCCGGCCCTTACCATTTCGGCCCGAAAGTTGTGATAACTCAAATTTTTCAATATTTGCCACTACGCCCCTTTCAAAGGGATGTGGGGGTCAGGATCCATCTTATCTCATGTATGTACATTCATTGTGGGGAAACTAGCCAATTAAAAAAAAAAAATATTTTCCTCCAAAATGCTGAACCACCCCGGCCCTTACCATTTTGGCCCGAAAGTTGTGATAACTCAAATTTTTCAATATTTGCTACTACGCCCCTTTTCAAGGGATGTGGGGGTCAGGATCCATCTAATGGCATGTATATACATTCATTGTGGGGAAACTAGCCTATTTAAAAAATATAATTTCTCCTCCAAAATGCTGAACCACCCCGGCCCTTACAATTTCGGCCCGAAAGTTGTGATAATTCAAAATTTTTACAATATTTGCCACTACGCCCCTTTCAAAGGAATATGGGGGTCAGGATCCATCTAATTGCATGTATGTACATTCATTATGGGGAAACTAGCCAATTAAAAAAAAAAATATTTTCCTCCAAAATGCTGAACCACCCCGGCCCTTACCATTTCGGCCCGAAAGTTGTGATAACTCAAATTTTTCAATATTTGCCACTACGCCCCTTTTTAAGGGATGTGGGGGTCAGGATCCATCTAATGGCATGTATGTACATTCATTGTGGGGAAACTAGCCAATTAAAAAAAAAAAATATTTTCCTCCAAAATGCTGATCCACCCCGGCCCTTACAATTTCGGCCCGAAAGTTGTGATAACTCAAATTTTTCAATATTTGCCACTACGCCCCTTTCAAAGGGCTGTGGGGGTCAGGATCCATCTAATGGCATGTATGTACATTCATTGTGGGGAATCTAGCCTAATCAAAAAAAATTAATATTTTCCTCCAAAATGCTGAACCACACCGGCCCTTACCATTTCGGCCCGAAAGTTGTGATAATTCAAATTTTTCAATATTTTCCACTACGCCCCTTTCAAAGGGATATAGGGTTCAGGATCCATCTAATGGCATGTATATACATTCATTGTGGGGAAACTAGCCAATTAAAAAAAATATATATTTTCCTCCAAAATGCTGAACCACCCCGGCCCTTACCATTTCTGCCCGAAAGTTGTGATAATTCAAATTTTTCAATATTTGCCACTACGCCCCTTTTCAAGGGATGTGGGGGTCAGGATCCATCTAATGGCATGTATGTACATTCATTGTGGGGAAACTAGCCAATTAAAAAAAAATTGATATTTTCCATCAAAATGCTGAACCACCCCGGCCCTTACCATTTCGGCCCGAAAGTTGTGATGATTCAAATTTTTCAATATTTGCCACTACGCCCCTTTTCAAGGGATGTGGGGGTCAGGATCCATCTAATGGCATGTATGTACATTCATTGTGGGGAAACTAGCCAATTAAAAAAAAAAAAAATTTCCTCCAAAATGCTGAACCACCCCGGCCCTTACAACTTCGGCCCGAAAAGTTGTGATAATTCAAATTTTTACAATATTTGCCCCTACCCCCCTGTCAAAGGGAAATGGGGGTCAGGATCCATCTAATTGCATGTATGTACATTCATTATGGGGAAACTAGCCAATTAAAAAAAACAAATTTTCCTCCAAAATGCTGAACCACCCCGGCCCTTACCATTTCGGCCGAAAGTTGTGATAACTCAAAATTTTCAATATTTGCCACTACGCCCCTTTTCAAGGGATGTGGGGGTCAGGATCCATCTAATGGCATGTATATACATTCATTGTGGGGAAACTAGCCTATAAAAAAATATATTTTCCTCCAAAATGCTGAACCACCCCGGCCCTTACCATTTCGGCCCGAAAGTTGTGATAACTCAAATTTTTCGATATTTGCCACTACGCCCCTTTCAAAGGGATGTGGGGGTCAGGATCCATCTTATCGCATGTATGTACTTTTATTATGGGGAAACTAGCCAATTAAAAAAAATAATATTTTCCTCCAAAATGCTGAACCATCCCGGCCCTTACCATTTCGGCCCGAAAGTTGTGATAACTCAAGCTTTTCAATATTTGCCACTACGCCCCTTTTCAAGGGATGTGGGGGTCAGGATCCATCTAATTGCATGTATATACATTCATTGTGGGGAAACTAGCCAATTAAAAAAAAATAATATTTTCCTCAAAAATGCTGAACCACCCCGGCCCTTACCATTTCGGCCCGAAAGGTGTGATAATTCAAATTTTTACAATATTTACCCCTACCCCCCTGTCAAAGGGATATGGGGGTCAGGATCCATCTAATGGCATGTATATACATTCAATGTGGGGAAACTAGCCTATTAAAAAAATATAATATTTTCCTCCAAAATGCTGAACCACCCCGGCCCTTACCATTTCGGCCCGAAAGTTGTGATAACTTAAATTTTTCAGTATTTGCCACTACGCCCCTTTCAAAGGGATGTGGGGGTCAGGATCCATCTTATCGCATGTATGTACTTTTATTATGGGGAAACTAGCCAATTTAAAAAAAATAATATTTTCCTCCAAAATGCTGAACCAAACCGGCCCTTACCATTTCGGCCCGAAAGTTGAGATAACTCAAATTTTTACAATATTTGCCACTACGCCCCTGTCAAAGGGATATAGGCGTTGGAATCCATCTAATTGCATGTATGTACTTTCATTATGGGGAAACTAGCCAATTAAAAAAAAATTGATATTTTCCATCAAAATGCTGAACCACCCCGGCCCTTACCATTTCGGCCCGAAAGTTGTGATGATTCAAATTTTTCAATATTTGCCACTACGCCCCTTTTCAAGGGATGTGGGGGTCAGGATCCATCTAATGGCATGTATGTACATTCATTGTGGGGAAACTAGCCAATTAAAAAAAAAAAAAATTTCCTCCAAAATGCTGAACCACCCCGGCCCTTACAACTTCGGCCCGAAAAGTTGTGATAATTCAAATTTTTACAATATTTGCCCCTACCCCCCTGTCAAAGGGAAATGGGGGTCAGGATCCATCTAATTGCATGTATGTACATTCATTATGGGGAAACTAGCCAATTAAAAAAAATTAATATTTTCCTTCAAAATGCTGAACCACCCCGGCCCTTACAACTTCGGCCCGAAAAGTTGTGATAATTCAAATTTTTACAATATTTGCCCCTACCCCCCTGTCAAAGGGATATGGGGGTCAGGATCCATCTAATGGCATGCATATACATTCATTATGGGGAAACTAGCCTATTCAAAAAATATATAATTTTTTCCTCCAAAATGCTAAACAACCCCGGCCCTTACCATTTCGACCCGAAAGTTGTGATAATTCAAATGTTTACAATATTTGCTCCTATCCCCCTTTCAAAGGGATATGAGGGGTCAGGATCCATCGAATGGCATGTAAGTACATTCATTGTTGGGAAACTAGCCTATTAAAATTTTTAATTTTCTCCTCCAAAATGCTGAACCACCTCGGCCCTGCTCATCATTAGGTAGATCAAACCCTTGTTTGTCTTCTAGAGGGGCACTTTTTGCAAATTTTGGAAAACATGGAAAATCATCACCTTTTGGCCAAAATGCCGAAGGAGTTTGCTCACCGTTTTTATATTAATATTTTTTTATTATTGTTTATTTGGTCTCAATGAACAATTTCGCATATAAGGTTGATCAAACACCCTTTTGTGTTCTAGAGGGGGGTATGTGAAAAATGTTGAGAATGTGCAAAATCATCACTTTTTGGCCGAAATGGAAAGGGGTTAGCTCATCATTTTGCAAATTATATGAAATTTTTCATTGTTTATCTCTTCACAATGACCCTGAGGGGCAAAAACATGGCCATATCATACCTCATGACATTCAGTGACATTCATTGCGAGCAAATTTAACAAAATGAATTTTTGTTTAACTTATTCGCAAAAACAATAAACCAATCCATTGCCATTTTGGCCAAAAGTAAAGATTTTCCAAATTTTTTGAATTTGCCAGAAAGCCCCACTAAAGGAAACTAGATGGAATTTTGACTGCGCGCAGCCGAAAATGATGCCTCCGCCATAGAGCAATTTAAACAAGTTTGGAGTTTAAATCTCCAGTGGTTCTTGAGATATCATGATAACAATCTCAATGTATGGAATTTCATAAGTTGACCTCTGTGACCCTTGACCTTTGACCTACGTGCTCCAAAATCTAATCAGATTGTCTTCCTATGGTGATACACACTATCATTAAGTTTGAAGTTTAAATCTCCAGTGGTTCTTGAGATATTATGATAACAATCTCAATGTATGGAATTTCATAAGTTGACCTCTGTGACCCTTGACCTTTGACCTACGTGCTCCAAAATCTAATCAGATCGTCTTCCTATGGTGATACATACTATCCTTAAGTTTGAAGTTTAAATCTCAAATGGTTCTTGAGATATCGCGCTAACAAACTCAATACAAGGAATTTCATAAGTTGACCTCTGTGACCTGTGACCTTTGACCTACGTACTCCAAAATCTAATCAGATCGTCTTCCTATGGTGATAAATACTATTCCCGAGTCTTAAGTTTAAATCTTAAATGGTGCTTGAGATATTGTGATAACGGTCAAACGGGACGGACGTACGGATGGACGGACGTACGGACGTACAGACGGACAACCCGAAAACATGATGCCTCCGGCACCACCTTTGGTGGCAGAGGCATAAAAATGCTTGTAATATTCTCTCATTTTCACACTGTAATATATAACTTTCTGTAAGTTAAAAGGTTACTGACATGAAACTGTAATTTAATTCACATTGTTAGAAAAGACAGTAACTTTACAATGGGCAATAATACATGTAGTAGGAATATTAAATAGGCATATCATACCCCTCCATCCCCCCCCCCCCCAAAAAAAAGCAGTGTTTTTTCAAAGTCATGCAAAAATGGGAGGAAAATTCAAATTCTACCACAAAACACATGCTAATCTCTACTTTCATTTTAACAAAAAATCATGTGTGAATGAACCACTCTTGGGTTTTACAGTGTTGTAATCTTCAAATAAGATTCTTGTATAGAATGTTTCACCCTATTTTTAGAAAATATGAAGATCTTAAGAACATGATACAACTGCACAGTCTAGTGCACACTACATGTTTCTCAAGTACAAAATAATCGCAGCACTTCTACATCCACATACCGGTATAACATATCAATGCATGGGGTAGTCCAACTTTTTAGTGTATCTGTATGAAAGTTCTCATAATCCAAAGTTGAATACATGCAATTTCTTATAAAATCATGATTCTTTGGTGTATGTCTCTTCAGACAGATTTTGAAAATGTCTAGGTTTGTTCTGTTTCACAAAGCCACGAAAATGCCCATGAGATTTTGTCCAAGTGGCAAATAAGATTATTTCAAGATATAACGAGGGTCGGACAAAACACAAATAAGATACAATCAAGATGATTTGTACGGGGTTTTCATAGTGTACATATACTTTGGTTTCAAGATACAATATATCATCAAATGTATAACGTACAATTTGATAAAAATGACATGATGTTAACAAGAGTATAATGTTATATTACACATACATGTTTAATAATACATACCCTGGTAAGACAAAACAGCCAAGCATATATATATATATATATATATATAAATATGTCAGCACTATTTTAGGTGTAAGATTCGAATACACCTATCGCTAATGATGAAAAAGGTATTTAATGCCTGCTAATTTTTGTCTGTCATGCTCGTCACTTACTCGTGATACTCTTTACATAGTTTACGATCGATCCCCTTTTAAAATGTGATGGAAATAATGAAATAAAATTTCTTTTCATCAACATTAGATTACTAGAATATCAATCAATATAACATCTTTTTGGAGCCAGAAGGGTGCTATTAAACTCATATACATGAACACAGAGTTAATGCCCTATTGGCTCTGAACAGACAAATTATATCATTGGAAAATGCAATAAAGCTGCTACATGTAGGCTCAAAATGGGGATAGGAGACTCTTTTAATATTCTGTTTTCAAAGTTATTACTTAGTATATTGCACACCTTTACATTAATTTTGCTTGAATAAATTCTTACAAAACATTTATACCATGAATTATGTACATGTATGCACATAGATATTCCTACATGTAGTTATTGATTTGTCCTTAAACAGTAATGAGTGTTTGTTAACTCTTTGCTGGCATTGGTCAACTAATGGAATAAATGATGGATTGCCAAAGTCAACCTTTGTCACAAGTACAATGGAAATGTATATTTTCTAAACAATGTGGCAATTTAGGGTTTCGAGCAATGGAAAATAAAGATATACTATTCCCACACACACATGAGACTAGTCCAGGACAATGTATATATATCTCTTTAAAAGACAAAAAATATATTCAAGTTTAATTTCAGTTGCATATATGAATACCGTACATACAGATCATTGAATTCATCTACAGCTTGCATTGATACAGAAATAATAAACCTATTGCTTGATATCACACTGTTGCAGCAATTTAGGCATATAGTCAACTAGATGCATCGTAGATGGCCCTATTGGACAATTATTTGCTGCCTGCCTCCTTCATATTCAATGCTATTTATTTCCATAGTCACTGGATCTATAGTTTAAAAAACAACAACATACTTTTGCATAACTTTTCATTGCCGTTGGGGGGAAAATAAGTATCTTCATACTTAAAATTGGCAAAAACAATCAGCAACAAAATAGAACTCTAAAATTTCCTCTCCTTTTCCCCTATTTGCTTTATTTTTTCTCTTCTATTTATTTATTTATCTATATTTTTGGATGAACTGCATTTTTCATAATCGTTTTTACAAATATTTTGACACTTTGAATATAATTGCACATCATTAACTTGTAGTAGACTCATGAAGCCAGAAAGAAATCAAAATTTAATCGAAATACAATAAAAATCAATTAATGTTAATGAAATGAGACAGATTCATGCCAACAGAATGATCTGCAAACATCTGCTCAAGTTTAAGCTACCGATTGTCCAATACAACTAAAGAGGTAGTTCTCACTGTGTCATGATCACTGTGTCATGCTCGTAGAATGACAGGCAAGGAAACTCACAGAGCACTGACAAAAACAAATAACATTTTACAGTTATCAAAATCAAAGAAAACAAACCAAAAATGAATAGAAAAATCCAACAAGCACAGCAGAGCTATAGGCTAAGAACCTCATGGAACACCAACCCCCCCCCCCAAAAAAAAATTAAACATAAAAACAAAGTCACACACACACACACCCATATAATAGCCCCAAAATCCTACGAGCACAAAGACAATATAAAGGTAATATTTAGCATGAGATAACATGCCAAATATAATTTTTTTTCACAGAAATCTTGTTTAAACGTTCACACTATTATATTATCCAATACTATCATACTTAGCTTGTGCTGGTATCCTAATTAGAGTTGGTGTTTCTTTGACGGTATTTAAACTACCAGACCAATGTTTGCATCATGAGCTATTCTCCAACAAATATTTAAAAATGAAACAAAACTATAACCAAATCCTATTTGCACATGGTTATGATACAGTATTAATGTAATACCGACCATATGTTAATAGTATCCTAATCCGTAAACAATGTTTCATCTACAAATTGACGACTACCGGTCAAACGTTCGCACCATGAGCTGCTTGACCTCTTCCTGGTGTAGCGTTGCCGTGCCAACCGCAGGCACTCCGAGAACGTCTCTTCCAGCATAGGCAAGCTGTGAACACAAATTTGGAGAAAAAAAATGATGTACTTTTCTCCAAGCATTACTGATCATACGTGTGATCTGTTTATGAAAAAGAAAGTGAGAAAGTAACAAAATCTACAACCAGCCTGATCTGAATGCAGCCATTTGTTTACCAGGCAGAAGCACTACCAATATTGCTAGACTATAACAGCTAGTATACAAATAATGCATGTGAATGAATTCATTATACGATCTACCTGCACTCGAGTTGATTCTAATCAGACCTGGGTTAAAAACTGAATTGTGTCTCTTGAATGATAACGTTAAAGGTCAGTCCCAGATATAATACCCCAATAATACACACAAACACAGTTAAAGCCTAGAACTTTATAGATGCTTTATTTATTTGTATCCATATGTTGCAATAAGCTATATTTCTTGTATTTTTACTAATTCGTTTTTCAGATTCAATACATCATGTTATGCAATGTTATATATTACATCATGTGTTATTAATTTTGCTTGTTAACTTTTGTAATTCGGCTAAACGCTGCAATGAAAGTTTATTTAAAATAAACCATTTTGAATTTAATTCAATTGAATTAATTAAAATACATGACTACCAACATTGGTCTACCTATCAGCCTATATTTGATCACGTACCTTGTGTCCAACGAGGTTCTCAAATCGAGGTGCAACAAAGGACCACGCCCCCATGTTCTTGTGTTCCTCTTGACTCCACAAATATTCTGGACAAAAATCAAATCAAAAACAAAAATGTTAGTTTCATGAAATGCTCCAGGTACTTTAAAGTACAATACATTCTGTTTTGTGGTTGTTGAAGAATAACATGGATATATTGGGGAGAAAACAGTTCTAGAGAAGGAGTCTTCCACCTTCTCACTGTTTAATAGTGATCAGATTGGATTCCATGTTGATCCAATAAATTATTCCATCCATCACTCCATCGATTAATCTATCCAGCTCTCAATCAGCCATTCCCCTGAGGCATTCACTTCTTTATCTATTCATCTCTCAATCCATTCACCTATTGATCATTCAATCAATCATACCATCTATCCATCCATCAGTATCTCACCTCTGGCATTAGGGTATCTACTGAATACACTCTGCAGGAGATCAGCTGGGAAGGGACACATATACTCTACCCTCACTATGGCTATATGGTGAGCCTGTCCATCTCTTAATCCCTCTATTCACCGATCATTCAATCATTCATTCTATCTATCTATCCATCAATCCGTATCTCACCTTTGGCATTAGGGTATCTACTCAGCACACTCTGCAGGAGATCAGCTGGGAAGGGACACAGAGACTCTACCCTCACTATGGCTATATGATGAGCCTGTCTGCTCTCCCTCTCCTTCTGTAGAGCATAGTAGTGCTTCCCACAACATATAACAACCTTCTGGATACTGCATTTAAGAAAAGAAACAATATTATTTCATCATAAACCTTGGAGCCAGATTGCTTCAATGTGGTCAGACAGGAGACTAAGACATTTTGTTCTGGTGTGCCAGCTTGGTGCTTGCACCAGACTTCCAGTGTATAAAATTTACTTTGTACCATTTGGGAGTGTGCAAATGGGTCAATACTTTCTTCATATGTGATATTATGTAGTTGTAGTAAGAAAAAATACATCTCTAATACTGTCTAGAAGTAAATCTGGATCTTTAATTTTCCTTTCAAACAAGGTTATGGCAGCTAGTGCATACCTTTGAGGATCAGTAGTCTGATCATCGATGACTGGTCTAAAATTAGTTCTAGGTCCCATCTCTGAGAGGTCTGAAGCGGCAGCTGGAAGACGGAGGAGGACCTTTGGTGAGGCTATGATCAGAGGCTTCCGGTAATTTCGAACCATCTGATGAGAGCAAAGCGAAATATTGGATCAAATAGAGCATTTTTAAGGAGGTACATGTACTTTGCTTTCACCTCTTTGAAACAAAATTGAAAAACTTCAGTCAGAGCTTTAAACGCTGTCTTTCAATACTGCTGGTATATTTAATGTTACAGAGACTCGTATTTGCGTGATGTAACTAAATTATTGAAGGAATTAAACCATAAACACTTCACTACATAAAGAAAGGCCTATTTTTACTTCATCATATCTTTAATAAGTTTATGTAGTACAATCAAACCTACTTTAGTGACCACCTGTCTACAAAGACCACAATTTTTGTTTCCCTTCAAATTGGTTTCTCATTGAAACATGTACTAAAGGAACCTGTCTACAAAGACCACTTTTTGTGTTTCCCATGGGCGGTCGCTATAGACAGGTCACTATCTCTTTTGAATCCAATGTATTTCACAGCCATTCTGACAGCCTGACCTCCACCAAGCCCAACCCACCTGTCTCCGTAGAAGATGGAAGTACTGAGCTGGTGTGGTGGGGTTGGCGATCTGAACATTGACATTGTCTCCGTCCACCTTCTCATCACTGCTGTCACACTGCAGCAGAAACCGCTCCAGACGGCAAGAGGAGTGCTCCGGACCAGCCCCGTCGAACCCGTGAGGGAGCAGCATGACGAGACCGCTCTGCAGCTGCCATTTTACTGCAGGTTGGTGGAAAAGATGGAAAAGATACTGTTTGAGTGATAGTTATCAATTTAAGGTTATTATAACACCGACAGCTGCATTTGTTTTACACAGAAAAGGATTGCGCCTGTTTGGACAAGGTATCCCTGTGGGGTTTGGTAAGCTCCATTTTCCCATGAGAGAACTTATCATTAGATTTTCATTACAGTTAATGAAATAAAAAACACAGAGTGATCTTATTTGTCTTTGGATATAAAGATTTTCACAAGGCTAAGTTTTGACAGCTTGTGTTTAAAAAATGGGTAACCAAAAGGTAATGAAGAAACCTACAATACTCATCACTATTATATTCACCTGCCATATGCTCATTACTCATTAACTATGAGTACAGTGTGAAAGAAGTCTGACAAATATAAATCGTGTGATCAAAAGTACAATTGACCTATTGGAAACCATGATTATAATTACACTTTAATGGTTTTCAATAGGTCAATTGTACATTGGATCACACAATTTAAATTTGTCAGAATTCTTGTACACAACTCGTAGTTAACAAATAATAGAGCTCATGACAGGTGGTAAAATACAGTGATATACAGTATACTCTACATGCATTGTAGCTTTCTTCATTACCTTTTGGTTACCTATTTTTTTAAACACGAGCTGTCAAACCATAGCCTCGCATTTCAGTAGGGTTGATCCGCAATTAAAGAATAGTCGGTATTAAAATCATACGTACATTCTCCGGGAAAGATGTAGGTGTCGATGATCGTCTGGGCTGCATTGAAGAAATCTCCAAACTGAGCCTCCCATAAGACTAGCAGGTCAGGACTCTCAATGCTCATCCCATACTCAAAGCCAAGCACAGCTTCTTCAGACAAGGGGCTGTTTGCAACCTAAGTAATTAAAAGAGGGTACAAAAATTTTGGTGCATTGTGTTGTAGAATGCGCAGAGGTGAAGGACTTTACAATGTCATTTGCATTCAGTATACATTCTAAGTAACTAATGCAACCTCATTTCTTAAACATCTAATCCACTCATATTTGCAATTTCAGAAAAGATTTATTTTAAGTTAACCTAGAGTTATACAAAGATCACTTGAAAAAAGGTATCTGACTGCCTTAACAGGTATAGACTACGAGTTGAAATTCATCACCCTTTACACAATGATATCTTCAAAGACTTTGCAATTAGTCAAATCTGCTTTAACAAATTTGCTATCGTGTAATGTGATATTGTATCTCATAAAAGCTGCCCCATGATCAATGAACCACATGGTTTACATATATTTACCTCAAAAAAGCCTTTCTGTGATTGGTCCATGTTGTTGAGTGGAACATGGATGCAGTCATTCTCTTGGTCCACCAGCATTGCATGACGATGACTGAAGGTGCCCCGTCCTACATCCTGTCCACTCAGTCTCACATTAAAACCTGATACAGAGGAAGAAAAAAATGTCACTTAACATTATTTTCATTATCATTGTGTACAGGCTTGAGTGGTAGTCCAGTACAAAATCCCAATCATTCCTGGGCAATACCTATTTTGAGCTTCGTTTTTATATAAACATACATTACATGATGGATGGACATTCGAGGCAGAATTGAAGAATTAAGTCTTGGTCTGCCAGCATGGCATGACGATGAGTGAAGGTGCCCTGACTGACATCCAGACCATTCAGTCATTGGATGAACACATTGGATGAAAGGGTACCTTAGAATAATTTCCTCACCGGGGACACAACATTTGGCAATATTGGTGAACATGTATATAGAGATTTCTTGATTATTAATCATGAATGATCATTTTTAAACAGCCGCCACTTCAGATATATAAAATTGTTGACAGCTGGTCATTCTGGCAGTCCCTGTACAGGAGAGTCCAAAACAGGCCAATTAAGTTGGTTCTGTACTGCTCAGATGATTTTAAATATCTACAGGTATCTATACTATTTAAAAAGCATTTCTTATGACAAAAACAAAAGAAAATTACTAACACACAATGAAATAATCTTAACATGAACAACTGCAAATGCGAAAGGTGCCTAAGCATTTCAAAGTAAGTGACTGGACACAAAAAAACACTTATTCCTAACAGAAAAATAAAGGACTACCTTGAATTAGCAGTGATCCCATAGCAAGACTCTCTGCGGTGGCCCAATCTATGGAAGACCCTTCCTCTACTCTCTTCAGTCGTGCAGCCACAAAGGTCTTCTTTAGATGAGGGTGTATACTCTACAAAATAATAAAGTGAGAGTGGTTAACAATTTGTTGACATAATCTTACATTGCACTTGACATCTACTGTATGTATTTTGTGTTCACACCCTTGATAAAAAGTAAGGTTGTATGAAGTTACAAGACTGTAAAAGCACAATCTATTATTCAGAGTAAAGGATACAGAAAATAAGTAGCAATATTTGTCTATTAAATCTGAATCAAATCTAAAAATGAACTTTTAGAGTTATTCAAATTTTTGCAAAATATACATGAAACAAAAAATAGGTGATGTTAATATGATAAACAGGTATTAAATATGAAACATATTTAATAATATACTAATTCTTTCAAGGATACTCACAAATCCATCAGGAACCTCGACTGACTTTCCCCCGATGAATTTCAGCATTTCTGAATCAATACCTGCAAGGGGTCGAGAGGAATGCAAACAAAAATTATAGATACATTTATTACGTAAAATACAAGTATACAGGGTACACGTAGTGCTCATAAAAGTGCTCATGTAAAAGTAAATAAATATGTTTCGGAAAGGATATCCTGAAGTTACTATACATCTATACAAGATAGGAATAGTTTTGCCCGGTCTCGACCATAATTAAATTGACTCAAAAATTAGGAATACAGTCTATTTTGTATACTTTCACACAGAATATCTGAGAAAAAGAGAAGAACCTAAGGTTTAAAACAATAGCTTGAAGGCCAACAAATGGGAATCATTCCTCCAAAATAGGAATGGTTACAAAGTCAGCTATGTGCAGTGAGCTTGCTGCCAAGTTGATGGTCTTGTATATACAATCTAATGTCTATTTATTACTTCCCTCTAGGCTCTACGCCAACTGACTCACCGGTATCCCATGATGAAATGTGTGAATGAGGTGGTGCACACGATGACCATGGGCCTTGAAGGATGGATTCGTAGGCGTGGTCAGGGGCGGAGTCCGCCTCCTTCAGACACCGGTTCCACTCCCGGACCTGCTCCGACACATTCTTGTCAACCTCCTCCTTACTGACAGAGCCCTCTTCCTGGTAAGTAAAGCAAAGAAATACATGACAGATTAAAGCTTTGTTCACACATGAAAGAGTAAAACGCTTTGAGAAACAAAAACAGCACCGCAGCACGCAAAGATAAAAGACTGCATTTTGTGCTTCTTATTTCTTTATCTCACAACAAACAGAGGTAGGAAAGTACACTGTATGTCCTCTGCTGTGTGCTGCTACTTTTTCACCACTCCCTTGTCATTTCTTAACATATAAATGAGTTTTTTTTGTGGGTGTTACGTTGTTCTTGAAGGTGGTTTGCTACATCTTGCATAAATGAGGCCTAGCTTTTAAAGCAATTTTACTTGTCTGGTTGTTTTGAATGGCATATTCTGTATACATTGAAAGTGATTACATTTCAAACTCGTATGTACGATTGAAATGGCCCATTATTGACACACCGAAATACTACAGTACATGAATTATACAGTATATATCAACAATTTTGTTATGGAAGATCTGAAAAATGAGTAAAACATCATTTTCCAGATGGGGTCTAGTACTACTGGCACATCTATGTGTTCCAATATGACAGCTCTTTGTATATAAGCTTCAGATATGCTGAGCTTGGAACAATATAACTTTTTTTCATATGGATTTATTTACTGTGACAGGTGGAAGAACAAACACTCTGTACAGCGACTACTGTCGCACGCGCGCTTCAACCTACAGCAGTTTTCTGTATGTAAGCATCCGGTATGCTGAGCCTGGACTTGATGTTGCCGTACATGATGGGCTGGGTGAAGGAGGGGTCGTCGATCTCGTTGTGACCCCAGCGGCGGAAGCAGAGGAGGTCGACCACCACGTCTTTCCTGAACTTCTGCCTGTAGCTCACCGCTAGCCTGCATGCCGATAGAACGGCCTGGAACAAACAAAACAAAGCAAAAGGTTGATATTGATTTATACCTTAAATATGTCATACCTCCCGTTGCACATGCACATCTCAACTATTACGCTACTGTCCATCAGAAATTCAATTTCAATCCAAGTCACATTATATTCACAATATAAAACTTGGTCAAATTAAAATATCTCACATTATTTTATTTTTTCAAATTCATTTCCCATGTTCTGTTTCATATTGTAATCATACCTAAGAAAACAGAGTTACCCAGCAAAAAAATTGAGCGATAGACAGATACAATTTTGAATCTGTAGTGAAATATCAGATAGTCATGTCCTAAGAACAAAATCTAGGGTTGTGACACCAGTATTAGAAAAAGGACAAAAATAGGAATCCTTCCTCCAAAATAGGAATGGTTGGCAGCCCTGGATTGTCTGCTGGGAGCCAAAAGGGCATCAAAACACTTTAAAATAAAGTAAGCACCCTCTTGAGTGACAAAAGACTACCTTACATATCATACATGCATATGTGGATTGTTTTTACAGAGAAAGAAATGTGTGCTATACCTCAGGGTCCTCGCCATTCACATGGATGACCGGATTTCCATTCATTTTCGCAATGTCACTGCTGTAGGGAGAAGAGCGCCCTCTCTCGGATGGCGTGGTGAAGCCAATCTGGTTGTTGACAATCAGATGTATGGAGCCACCGACTGCATAGTGAGGTAGGTTGGCCATCGCAAAGCACTCGGCTATCACTCCCTGTGGAGGAAAAAAAAAAAAAAAGTTAGATAGCTATAAAATTGTGAATTATGATCATTTGGGAAAGTTATCTATGAAACAAATCTCTATTTTCAAGCTAAGTTTTTCTTGGGTGCATGGCTTCTGGGGTGAGCCAGCTCGTGAAAATGTTCTCTTTTCATCTCTTTTTGGCCCCTCTACAATTGCATGTAAGATGATTATCTTCATATGGCATAGTGGCCTTCCCTGTTTTATGTGCTTTATCCATAAGATATCTTATCTAAATAAAATCTTATCTTATCTATATAATCTGTTACCAACCATCTGTAGTTAAAGCTCCTGTATTAAAGCATATTGGAATGAGATCATTCAGTAGTCAATGGATTAATTGAAACTGCCATTCATCTTTTATTTTTTCACAAAGCTATATCATACGTTTTGGAGAAATTTCCTTTTTTGTCAATTTGTCATTATTAGTACATGCAGTACTATACTCTGTAATTCAGTAAAAACATAGAATGTCAAATTTCATTTTTCTATCAGTAAATTTTTTCTTACGTACCTGGGCAACAAAAGCAGCATCACCATGAAGAAGAACATTTATGACCTTATCACCATGGCAACCATCAAATGATGGATCTAAAGTGTAGTCACCTTCTTGTTTACTCATCTGGCGCCCTCTAGCTTTACCGATTCCAACAGGTATGTTAGCCTAAAAGTAGACAGATACAGGTACCGGTATCAAATAAATGAGTGATTGAAAAAAAGAAAAATTAATAGTGGGCATTTTTTACCTTTTAATGACGATTCACATCTTATTGAAGTATATTCTCTACGTTCCTGACAATACATACTGTACAAACTTACAAAGCATACCATAAGTTAGCTTTGTCTACCCAAACTGTCATCGTAAAATGTACTAGTAAAACAGGTGAGACCCATTTTGTTAGTTTTTCTTTGCATTAAAAAAAAAAAAAAAAAACCTTCTTCTTAGCACTATTTTACTCATTCTAATTTACCTGACATGAATATCACAAACTTTGAGTTGTTTGATAAATATCAATATTTTAGATTATACATTCATTTTTTTCTCCACACAAATACATCACATAATAATAATAATAATAATAGCCTAATAGTCCACTCCAAATCTTATTAAACCGAAACGGAAATTCTTTTTGCCCAACTGATCGTGAGCCCGGCAGCCACTGAGCAGCGCCAGATCGACGTTGCTCTATCCCTTATTGTTGAACGCCAAACAAGGTAGCAACAACTCCCATCTGTTAACGTCTTTTGGTATGACACGGCCGGGGTTCGAACCCACGACCTCCCGGTTGTGAGGCGGACGCTCTACTTACTGAGCCAACACTCCGGTTATGTCACAATATGTCACATATGTCACATATGTCACAATCCTGACTTTTTTTTTAGGGGGGGGGGGTTTATTGTCCAATACTTGTCACCATTTTTCTATTTATTTTAATTTGTTATGAATTGTAATATTTTTATAATCATGTAATGGTTTTACATTGTGATTTACTAATTATTTATAATACAATGCTCTCATTTACAGCAGTTTTAATAAACTGAAGAGACAATCATGCATCAGGAACACATTTATGAAAACACTTTATTACTAGAGTTTAGTCACACACAAGCACATAATATCACAGCAAGCAATACAGTAAAAACTACAAACTCCCCTTCTCTGTCGGAGAGAGAGAGAAAAATAAGAGCGACAGACAATATGGTCTGGGGGGTGTTTCACAAAGACTAAGATCAACTTTAAGTTGGACTTACCTATGGCAGGCCGTTCATGCCACTGGTTGCTTTCACCATTTACTGGCATTAGTCTCTTAAAGGACGTACAAATCATGGTCACAAATCTACACAATTTACATTGCTTCATAATTCATTATTGAAGGAAAAATTATCATCTAAAGATCATGATCATGATGAAGATCTAAAGAGCAACCAGTGGCATGAATAGCCGGCCATAGTTAAGTTCTACTTAAATTCGATCATAGTCTTTGTGAAACATGCACTGGTACCTCAAGATGTGAAGGGTTAGGAATGAGAGAGAGATGCACCGCTTTTCCATCCACATCCAGATCCACAGTAGTCCCTGTACACACACACAGGAAATAATAGCTAGTACAACAAGAACATTGGAGCACGGTCCTACATGGAGAGAGAGAGAGGATCTTCTGGGAGACAGAGCTGTTATTGGATCCAAATTTAAGAAATAGGTGGCCTTGTTTTTGTTTATTGTTCTGTTTGTTTGCCTTATGTGTACCTACCTGAAATTCATCCAAAATGTACATGTATATAATCCTCTGTTGAGAGCCAGAGCCAGAAGGGCTTTCTAACCTGTATGAAAATTGTAAAGTGATATGATTTAATGTCTTCTGTCTCTCAGCTGATGATAATTATGGCTAAACAAAGATTTTGCTAATGATACCAAAGACAGCTTCATTATGAGTTTTAAAAAACAGACATTTCATTATTTTGTTTATTAGAATCAATAAATCTTAAAAAGTCCATTGATGAATTCCAACCAAATGTCACCTTGTGGATGGGTATTTGATCACTCTGCGTTTTGCCCAAAATACTCCCCCCCCCCCCCTACCGGACTTAACAAATACTGTATAATACTGAATACAAGATTATATGGAACTGTACAATTAAACATAAATTCATGAAATAGTAAAAAGGAAGTTAAGGGGAAAAACAACAAAAGGTTATCAGAAATAACTTTATAGTTTATCAGCCAGAGTCAATCAAGTATGCCTGCTGTCTAAACCTTGATTAAAAGAACTGTGATATACAAGCCTCATTTTTAACGACAAGAAATAACAATATTTATGTTAAAATCATTAAAAATTGGTTTATGAGCCACATTTTCTAATTTCATGAAAAAATTGGAGCTGTATGCCCCAAACTTAAAAATGACATTAATTCCCAAATTAGTCACTTTAAAAATCGGTTATTTATCACAACCACTTTTTGGGTAGTCATCTGCATTCAAATTTAGAAACATAAATGCTCCAACTGTGAAGAATGCAAAGATTTGTCATTTTGTATTCTTACATGTATGTTTGTATTATAATGTAATTGTCTGGCTATTGAGCTGCAAGTTATGTTTTTTTTCTTTCCAATTCAACTCCCACTACAACGTACACCACCAGCCACCAAAACTGGCCCTTTTGGTTTAATGCAAGCACTATATCCATTCATGTGACTGTGCATGATCACTGAACCGCAATGTAAGTATGTGTAATATTCGGCTGAGGTGGGTGATATGATATCATATCTTAAAATTGCAGTCGTCTCAAGTATACCCTCAACCCTCTGGCACTTGGTAGCTAGGTCAACAACTTTTCTCTATGTTTTGGGCCTACTTGTGGAATATGCCACTTAATGGTCATCGAGTGGGTACACACACACACACACTTGCGTGTAAAGTCTATGGGGAGGTAAAATCCCCCATAGGCATTGCATGCAATGAACAGCTGTGTACAAAGTGAATGAGCATGCAGTGGCTTATTTCATGAAAATACCATGTTTTGTATCAATTCGTCTGTTTGGAGCTAGAAGGGTGTTAGCTTACATGTACATTATAAACTTTAAAGGCTGTCTGTACTAGTTTGGCTAGGAGGGATTAGACCACCCTGGGTGGTCACTGACAGGTGGCGATCTCATCAACTTAGCTCTCAATTAACATAAGAAAAAGAGGACCATGGGGGACCAATGGTCACCAATTAGGCATTGTTTTCTATATAGAGGGAGCAAGCTAGTACGAGCTACAAGTAGTACAGTGGGGCCTTAACAAAGAGTCAACATCCTTCTGGTTCTAAGTAGACTTCCCCCTTAATTTTTGTATCCTTTCGTCTGCATTTGGAGCCAAAAGAACGTTAGCTCACATACTTTAACATAGTATACAAATAATGAATGGTTATGAGTTCAATAGTGCGAATATGTTCATGAGTTGAAAGATTAACATTCTATTCAACGAGGCGTCAGCCGAGTTGAATAGAATTAACGTTAATCTTTCAACGAATGAAAATATTTGCACTATTAAACGAATGAAAAACATTCATTATTTGTTTTATACAACATCGAAGAAGACCTAATAGAACGTTAATCAACAAATTATGCTTTACTCCTTATAAAGATAAATTACAGTTCGAGTCAAGCCTTCTCAATTACATGCAGATTGCCTTTGCGTCAGATACACGCAGGGATACGCGCGCGCACATGCAGCAGAGAGATACGCAGTCTGCATATAACCAAAAATGCACGGCGCATATAACCAAAAATGCACAACCGTGCAATATACCATCTATTGAATATCATGTGACGAACAATCGTCCAATCAAATGACAAGGATCCACGTAGGTGTTGTATAAAGTTATATAACGCCCTTCTGGTTCTTAACGTTTATCATTCATATCTCATATAACCATATCTGACAAGGCAATGGTCTTTTGTTTTCAAACACGAGTAAGAGCAAAGGCATCAATAGTTTTTTTAGAAGCAACGAGAACGTCCACTTACCTAATTTCATATGCACTCTATTGCTTAAATACAAATTCTCTCATGTTTCATTTGTTGCTTGTTAAACACAATGGATGAAAGCTTGCCTACTTAATTTCAAATTTGGTAGAAGCCTAAACTACATGTAAGGTACTGGTATACACAGCTTAACGTTAGCGAAAGATTTTTCCACTTTGATACTTTTTGAAATTTATCTCCCAACAATGCCTCTTTGAAATCTGCTAGCATTAATTTGAAATTAAAAGACAATAGTGGACCCTGACAAGGGATTTGCTTACCAGTAGATACAAATACTCTCATGTTTCATTTGTTGCTTGTTACACAAAAAAACAAAATCTAAACTTTACTATTTTTTTACTTTAATTATTATATGTATTAGATATTGTATCATGCATGTATTTGACTGAAAATTGGTTAAGACAAAAAAATAAAAAATAAAGTGAGTCACTTACAGAGATGAGTGGGAATGTCTCCCACACAGAGAAGGTGTGGGGGAAATTCGGGGTTGCCCCGAAGTTTCTTCAACATCACCATCGGCGAGTAACCGAGCGGTCCCATTAAAAGATTCAAGCGTCCTCTATGTGGCATGGCTAATATAATGTCTTCCACTCCATCTGTTCGGGAGAGGGACAAATTGAATGAATAATCATGTCGGACTCGGTATGAAGTCATATAAAGTGCATACTTATGCATTCCACTATTCAACTAGTCTGGTAGGACTACTCGACATTCGATACAAATAGTGATTGTTGTTTTTCTTTGTTGTTTTTTTGTTCTTGTTTTTTCCCCTACTTGTGAATATCATACAAATACCAAGGAAATTCATTATAATGTAAAATGTAAAGCACCATCAATGTCAGAACCTGGCGGATATCAGCATTATATAAGAATTCATATCATCACTAAGATCATCATTAGTATTGACACTATTATTATTATCGTCACCATCGTTATTAGTAGCAGTAGAAGTAGTAGTGGTAGAAGTACCATCATCATCATTATTATCACTACTACAACTTCCTTTAAAAAAGCCTCATCATTATTATTTCTTTACCTGATGCAACTTGAGTAAAGAGGTGATTGAAAAAAAACATCATACTTTCAGCTATTATTATAATTAATATTGTCATCATTGTTATCATTGGAAGTAGAAGTAGAGTAAGTACCATCATCATCATTATTATCACTACTACTAATGTACTTCCATTTAAAAAGTTCATAAATATTCCTACTTTACCTGATGCAGCTTGGGTGAAGAGTTGATGGAAAAAGACCATCATGCTCTCGGCTCCTTCTCCACCATAACGCTTCACAGTAGCGAATTTGGTGGTCATAAACTGGTCAAATGCCTAGAAAAAAATGAAATCACAAAACATGGTAAAATTAATTTTCCCCCTCCCCAAAAACTGCATTGGTGAAATACATACATACACAATAGAAGTGGATAAACAAAAATGCCCGGTGATTCAGGTCAGCAAATTACGAGACCAGTGTTACCAAAGAGTAGAGTATAAGATATAGTATTGAAGAGATGATTTTTTACAAAGTATTTCCTATTACCGGTGATTTAATCTGGTATAAATTTATAATGAAACATTTGTAAATTATGAACTACATGTACATGAATTTTTATATATCATTGTGGATTAATTTTTGATTTTTGATTCTTTTTAAAGTTTCCATCCTGCCATATGCGAGTCAAACTAAAAAGTTACACATTTCCTCCTGCTACTTCATGGCATGAGTTTAATATAATACTAATGAAATAATGTATAAAATGTGACAAACCTGAGCATCGGCCATCACTTGTGCTATCTTCTGCTTGGTGGCATTGGATACGGTCCAGCGAGGGCTCTCTTCAGCTTGGTGGCCAAACCATTCTCTTTCTTCACTCGTCTGAAAGTATACAATAGCAAAACAAATAACTGTAGCTTCATCAAAAATTAAACAAATATGGTAAGGAATAATACTAATTCTCTGTTCTTGTATAGCACATAGCACCATCACATTATGATATAATGTTTATATGCACTTCCAAAGAAATTTTGATATTATTACCCTGGATTTAGCTCTGGCAACCATGGTGTTCTGTGGGTTCAAGGAATAAATCCAGGGGCGGATCTAGCTTTTTGCTAAGGGGGGGGGGGTTGACCAAAATAATGACGATGCAGAGCATCGTCCACGAGCCGCGAAGCGGCGAGCCGATTTTTTTTTGGGGTGTTTATTTGAACCCCGTAAGTGATGTTTTCCTGGCATCTATTAACACAATGGAGACCATAAAAAGCAGTGCATGATAACGTCTTTTTAAATCAAGTAACAGTTAAATACACAGTTATATCCAGAGTTATCATGTGTTTGGTTAAGTTACCAGATGAGTTGAAAATCTTCTCACAATATTTGCACTTGAAAGGGTTTCTCTCCAGCGTGCGTTCTTTTTTTTTTTTTTTTTTTTTTCACTTCGGCGGTGACCCGTGTCCTCAAAAAAGCTGATGGGGGGGGGGGCAAGGGACTCTGTGACATTTGTTCGCCCAACCCCCCCCCCCCCTCCCCCAAAAAAAAAGAAATAATAATAATAATAATAATAATAATAATAATAATAATAATAATAATAATAATAATAATAATAAATGAAATAAATACATAGAAATAGAATAAAATAAAATTACAAGTTTAAAAAAAAGATAACATTTAAAAAAATGGTCCCCGGATTTTTTTTTGGGGGGGTTGCAACCCCCCCAACCCCCCCTCTAGATCCGCTTCTGGTTTCTGAGGGATCAGTCACTGAAGAGGAGATAAAGGGAAGGAAAATTAAGTAAGAAGTAAAGAAAAGAAGGGGGATATCAGTTGCAATTTTCCCGCCAACAAGAGCTAAAAGGGACCAAAAAAAAGAGGAAGAAGAAAAAAAGGGTGAAAAGAATTTTGATGCGGTGTTCGAGTAGAATTCTGTGAGATGATGATATACTTGCTGACTCGTAGCTTGAAGTGTCTATATCCAGATATCTGTTGATAGTATTATAGAATATAGAAGCCTGAAATGACCTTCTGCTCGTAACCGACAAGTCACCGCATTAAAATTAAATTGCAAATAGTGTTCAACAACACGATGGTGGATGAAACTTTCTAATATTCGAAGATATATGACCTTCAGACCATATTGTTTCATTATTTTTTATTCAATCAATCAACGTCAAGAATAGATTTATCATCGCTCTTCACTTTATTATTTCACCTTTGTATGTACTTTCATTTGTATGCCTCACGAAAGAACACTGAATTGGATTCTTCAATGTTTGTTTTGATTAATTTCCTCCCTTTTCTTTCTCCCTATTTAAAACTGATACAATTTTCAATTTTTCTTAATCAAGGCAAAATATTATTTTCATATTTTATTTATGCAAGACAGGGAGAGAGAGAGAGAGAGAGAGAATATGTAAAGTGAGAATTATCGAGTACAACCATGAATTGCATCCTTTTCAATATTATTCAATTCACGGAAATATTCAGAATATGAATATGAGAAATCCACATAATACACCAACGCTGTTCAACGCATCCAACGCTCCAACCATAGCCCATATGCCAATGCACCATATTTATCAAATATGAAAAGATTTTTAAATGAAATGTGAAGAAAAATCAAATGTACAATGCACTAACAGGCATCAGTTGAAATCATGAATTCTCTGTGACTGGCTTAGCACTAGTTTCTGAGGGACCAGTCACTGAAGAGCCTAGGAGATAAAGGGAAGGAAAATTAAGTAAGAAGTAAAGAAAAGAAGGGGGATATCAGTTGCAATTTTTTGATTAATTTCCTCCCCTTTCCTTCTCCCTATTTAACACTGATACAATTTTCAATTTTTCTTAATCAAGGCAAAATATTATTTTCATATTTTCGTCTTCTTTCTCTACTGATTTAATGAAACGTCAAAGCTTCAGCGCTTCGCGGGGGGGGGGGGGGGGGGGGGGGGGGGGGGGGGGGGGGGGGGGGGGGGGGGAATTCAGACGGGGATTATTTTTCGAGAACGGTACAACGAAACGTCCCTGCAACATCTTTGCTGATCTTCTTCTCAATATGTATTATTGGTCGAGTTACATTATTTGTTGTTCTATTAGAACAACCATATTTCAGAGGATTTTTTCACAACGAAAAACTTCTCCATGTTTCAGTCCTTGCGCGATCGTCTCCAGCTCCAGCAGATATTGGGCGTCAGCGTGCACATCGGTACTACCGGCGCAGTATAGCGACTGCTGACGGCCGCATTAGCTGCACTGCGAGCTTCCGTTGTTTGTATCGGTAATACACAGAGATGGGATAGAAAGAAGCGCCATCTAAGTTCCATTTCATTGGTTTAAGGTTTGAAAATTGAAACTCATTTATGTTAAAGTTATATAAGAAAAGATAATCTTTATTTTATAATTCCACAGGGGCGACTTTTAATTTTGCAATCGCCCCCGTGGGCAACCTGACGGGGGCGATTATGGAGCTCACGGGGGCGAATTGCTCATCGCCCCCGTGTATTTTGGGCGCTGATAATGAGTAATATGAAAGTACAACAAACAGGAGCAATTGATAACGTTAGTTTATATTTGCACGATTCGAGAAATAAAGTATCTTGAATTGAATTGTAATCTTGAGTCTTGTGCAAGAGTATTGATTTATCTTAATAAGATTTCGTTTGTGATGTGAGCAAAATTAACGCAAATTTCTAAACGAATGTCAATCAATGATTTGTTACCTTCCTCCATTACCCCCACCTAACAAAACAAACAAAAAAACGGATACACATTAGTATACTTGGGGGAGGGAGGAAGAACAAATAATGAGTGCAGTTTTCACATTTTAATGAGATATATTGAATGGAAGAGTAAAATCAACCCGAATTTCTAAACGATTATAAACAAATTTTTATAATTCATTGCTTTCCTTTCATTATTCATCACCCTCCCCATCTAAATAATGATAATAATAATATGATAATGATGATTAATTTCGTTAGAATTGCCTTTATTATTTATTTATTTATTATATATTTTTCTTATTCTAACCACTTTTTTGTTGGCAAGATAACTTGGAAATGGCTCAATCAAATGCCTTGAAATTTGGCATACATATGTATAGGCATATGTACAAAGCACAATAACGTTTTCAATATTGACCTTCACTGATGACGTCATCTAGGCGCCATTTTGTAAAATTTTACGAAAATCAACTCATGATCATATCTTCATAACCAAAGGTTATTTCATATTCATATTTATCATGATCAAGGTCAATATCCGTCCGGTCAATTGCAGGTCAAAAAAACGCCGCGCGTGCGCGTACCTCCGCGCGTCAATGCACGCGCAAAATATTAAAATGCTGAAAATCGTCTCAAAATCATTTTGCATACGTTTTAGGCCATTCTAAGCATTTTATAAAAAATCGCGCACACGCAATATTATTTTCATTCCCAAATATTTATTTTTCATCCCCAAAGACTTCAACAATCCCCCAATTTTTTTTTTTTTAATGTGGGGATTTTGGGGATGAGAATCGGCAACGCTGGCCTAGCTTGTCACTTCGGCGGTGGCCCGTGTCCTCAAAAAAGCTGATGGGGGGGGGGGGGGGCAAGGGACTCTGTGAAATTTGTTCGCCCAACCCCCCCCCCCCCTCCCCCCAAAAAGAAATAATAATAATAATAATAATAATAATAATAATAATAATAATAATAATAATAAATGAAATAAATACATAGAAATAGAATAAAATAAAATTACAAGTTTAAAAAAAAAGATAAGATTTAAAAAAATGTTCCCCGGATTTTTTTTGGGGGGGTTGCAACCCCCCCAACCCCCCCTCTAGATCCGCTTCTGAAATCCTACCAGGTAACAACTTACTACCCCTGGATCCAGTGTTGCAAATGTACATTGATAACTTGCAAAGGATTAGCAAACTCTTGAAACTTGTACATGTACTCCGTGTTGAAAAATTATGAAAAAATGGACTGGATGAGAAACTTATCAACATTATAGTTCCATTTGTTCTAGTGTCGTACACATGGTAAAAACTACGATAATATCTTGATTTTCATAATTTCTTTTCTCATTAATCAGTAATACTACATTTTCTACCTAAATCGTTTGGCACATACCGGTAATTGAATCAAACATACAGTCAGTGTATGTTTGATTCAATTTAGTTAAAATTTATTTTACATCATTTACTAGAACCCATGATTAACTTAATAACATGATAAAAACAAAGTATATCTTGATTTACATACAGTAAGTGTGAAAACTCAACAGCAATGTTGCTACAGTAAGCCTTCTTTAGGTGGTCTAAGACTTCCTGCACTGTTCCTTTCTCTTTCCCAATGTTGACTATACCTGAACAAAATGAAACCATGACAAAAAGCGAAACATTGTTAGATTAAATTTGTACTTTGTTGTTATCATCAGCAGTTTTGGACCTAAATAGCAGTAGATACTACATTTTCACCAATATCAGTTGATGAAAAGTGAAGCATTTTCTTGTATAAACATCTTCAGATTATAAGAACTGCTACTAGATTAGAAATGAACTATTTTTATGTGAAAACACATAACACAATCAATGCAAGCTAGACAGTTACAATGTCTATGACACGATGTGAATGCTCTTTTATGAATATATGCATAGATGCAAATAATGCATAAAGCACATTTTCTATCCAATGGCATTCAAATATTTACCTGTTAAATTGTAAGATTCACTGCTATCTGATGATAACCCATACAGATGAGGCTCCAACTCTGGCACAGGTCTGTATTCAGGAGAGCAAAAAAGGTAAAATCAATATTCTAGTTGACTTCATGCCGTGAAATGACATTGTGATGTGAGATTGCAATGTCCATAATTAACAATTGTGTATACCCATTTAGGAATCATAACTTTCCATGACACTGGAGCTTTGTGAACATTACATTTATTTGTCCATTAATTATATTACTGGAAAACTTTCAACTTTTCTGTCTGTTACTGTAACTGTTTCTTGACAGAAATTGGCTTTAAATAACTGTTTATCATGCCGTAGATTAGTTTATAATGCCTAGAAAATACTGCTGGGACACACAAAAAAAGCACAGCTATGAGATGATGAGTCAGGACTAACAGTGTAGTATTAAAGTAGGTAGCCTCATCTCTGTTTCGTTAATTACTTGGCTCAGTTGGCCATTTTACATTTTCTACCAAGATAGTGTGGCATTTGCTGACTTAAGAATTGATATTATGATTTGCTTGGTTCTGTGAGAGTTCTTTTTCTCCAGAATGCACCAGAAGTCATGAGATTTAAACTACAGTGAAACCTTCTTTAGCAAACACCTCTATAGAAATACCACCTGTCTACATCTACATATCAAGACCATCTTTTCTGCCTCTCTCAATCGGTCTTTCTATAGAGGTTTTAAATGTATTAGCAAATTAAATCTGTAATATACAACTTTAAAATTCACTTCTATTTTATTTCTCACTAATCAAATCAACACAATTGGCATAATAATCATACTTGATAGAAATATGGGATCAAGTGAATCAATGCTTTAAAAAAAATATTTAAAGTTCAATCTCATAGTTAAATTGTCAGTCTATTCTGCAAAACTAACTTGTAGACTTCATATTGATAATTGATAATGTGTTGCCTTACATTAACTTATCCTACTGTGATGCATACGTACTGTAGTTGCAACAAGCCTAAAGGATCTAATGTCGCCCTCTTATGTCCATGTTCCCGGTAGGCTGTTACGAGACGTAGTAGATTGGCATTCTGAATCCTATTCTGTATCGCAGCTTCATCTAAAAGTCACACAACAGTAAATTGGTACATTACTCCTCTAAAGGGATCCGGTAACTTTGTCTCAGATTCTGAAACAAAATTCTGGATTTAGCTCATGATGCAATGATAATTATAAACCTTTAGGTCAGTCAGGAACCCCATGACTTTTACAATCCGATCGCCTGTCTGATTATTAAGATATTTATAATTGGAATTACAAATTTTGAAAACCGTTCGCCTGACGGTTTTCATAACACTACAGTCTATTGGGGAAAACGAGTATGGTTAAACCGGTCACTCAAAGATTTTTACTTTTTTGAGGCACTTCTTGATCATTTTGAAGCGCAATTTTTTTAGGGCTTCAATATTACACCATATCACAGACACTGATAACACGTAGGGTCGTGTATCTCAGATTTAACATTGTTAAACGATCCCTTAATAGACTACAACACAATACAATGTATCCTCTTTTTTCTGCCCATGCAGCTTTAAAAAATACAGACATGCAGTTGAGATAGGTGTAGATTGCAAATACAAATAAGCTTATAAAGAAACAAACAAACAAAATAAACTGTCTGATGTTGATTATCTATTTGACATTTAAAAAAACAGCTTTCTGTCCATTTATATCACTTAGAGTTAGACCTATTAAACCCATTTCCTGTCATAATTTGACAACTTATATTCATGTAAATATATTCAAGCAATCTCATGAGAATTCAGAGTGCCAAAAAATCAATGATTTTAATTTGTAAAATCATCAGAGATCAAAGTTGGACAAGTTATCCAGGGTGGCACCTAGACCTAAAATCGGTCTATTTTTAATCAGGGATATGTAAATTAAATGTATGTCTGGCTCCAGCTCCACCTAAGTCAAAGGACAAAATATGTTTAAAAACTCCTCCAAACTGACATTGACAAATTGTTCTGTCTAGTTGGCACCATACCTTCGATAACTCGACCAGGCCTTCATAGATTCTATTTCCAACAAAGGCAAGTCAATCACGACAGCTAGCAGCTGGCCAATTTTTGCAATTAACTTGTTATGATCTCATTCTCAATCATATTGTTCTAACTCCATCATCATCATCATCGTGTCATGTTTGCGTAATCTGCCTTTTTCACCACAACATCATTAGGGTTAATGGAACTGTTTCACACACAACTGTCACACAATTTTTCAAATATCTCCCACGTATTTATACTCTCTTTGTCCCACCTGTATTGATCCCCTCAGCTTGTTGTTGGAGGCCGATCAAATTCAGCGGCCGCCATGCCGATTGTCGATAGCCATACACATCTCGACCGACGTTGTACAAGCGGGACGGTAGGTGCTGAACGGCGGGAACTAGTGGCGCTGCATGCTGGCAGCGAGGGGTCGATTGCGATGACAAAATTCTGACCCGACTATGTCGAAGAAATCGCAACATGTTTTCTAATTTTCAATGTCTTCTTGTTTAATGTATAAAATATACGAACACAAATTCAGGTACATTCCTATAATCGACCGTTGATTTCTGACGCAATTGTGATATTTCTGTACCAAAACATTGAGATTTAGAAGTGAGTCGTTTTATAATTTGAGTAGAAATACTATTCTCAATTACAGATGTTCAATATTTTTAACGAAATTTTTAAAACATGTATAATTTATTTTGGCAAGTATTTGACTCTCCATATCTACCAGACAAAATTTGATTTTTTTTCAAATGGATTTATATTTCATTAATCAATCGATTTGAATATTTTTTACAGCAGGGGGTAATTATATTTCACTTCATATAAACATTTAAGCCTTCACGAAAGGTAATCACATATTGGAGGTGTGTTGTGTTGTGGGTGTGTCAGAGCAAGGAGATACCAGCAATAAATATCTCTTTGGTCTGAGGCATAAAGTTCGTTTCATTTTATACTACTGGTCGAGCTGTATTGACCTTTGTAAATTTGTCCCCTTTGGTTGTTTTTTAATTGCTTGTTTGGATTTTTGATGTTCTCATTCTTTTTTCGTGAACAAAAATGAATGGCGGGTCCAGAACTCTCTAAGGTATAGGGGCATGCAGTCTGAAAGCAAAATTTAAAAAGGATCAAGAAAAAGATTCCATGGCGTTTTGGGATTGATGCACGGCATCTTGCAATAAGACTGACGAATGAGATACGGGTGGATGCCACGCGCATTGTTTACTAAAAATATAATTTTTGGCTAAAAATTGTGAAGAATGTCCAAAATCATGATTCTTATTTTTTAATCGAATATGAATTATCTGATGAAGAAATTTCGATTGATATAGTTTTCAAACCTGTTAAATACACATTTGAATGTTCGATATTACACGTATAAAGTATGGCGCAATGAAACAAAAGTGTGATTTACTCAGAATATGGTCGTAAAGTAAAGTACAATTTAAAAAAACCTGGATAACTAATGGTATTTTGAGATCATTTTGATAAACATAGAATGTATAAAGGTACAATTAATACATGAATATATACAAGGAAAAAATAAAATATAATGATCAAAAGATTATATATCTTGTTATGCCACAGACATACAAGAAATGATCAGATAATGTGATGAACAACTCACTTTGTTATCCCCAATGAATTGACGTCGTTTTCACATGATGCGCATTTTGAGTGGAAACACACTGTACGGTACTGTATATGGCAATTCCCACATAGGCCTATATTAGCAGTATAAGTCCATGGGCCAACAACTGAAGAGGCACACACCACCTTAGACACAATCTTAAATGATTTTTTCCCTCTTAGTTAGGACGGTAGACCAGGCGCGGATCCAGGATTTCTTAGGGGGGGGGGGGGGCCCAAATTTGAAATTATGCGAGCCAAATATTGGTACGTTATGGTGACCAACAGTGACGTAATGCAGGGGGGGGGGGCGAGTTTCCCCCTCCCAGGCTTTGACGTTTCATTATATTATTAGAGAAAGAAGACGATTCGTTGTACAGTTCTCGACTCTTAATCCTTGTCTAAATTCAGCCCCCCCCCCCTCCCCCTCCTGCGCGAAGCGCGGAAGCTTTGACGTTTTATTAAACTATTAAAGGAAGAAGACGATTCGTTGTACCGTTCTCGAAAATAATTCTCGTTTGAATTTAGTTCCCCCCCCCTCTCGTGCGAAGCGCGGAAGCTTTTACGTTTCATTAAATCATTAGATAAAGAAGACGATTCGTTGTACTGTTCTCGACTCCTAATCCTTGTCTAAATTCAGCCCCTCCCCCTTCCTCCCCTCCTGCGCGAAGCGCGGAAGCTTTGACGTTTTATTAAACTATTAAAGAAAGAAGACGATTCGTTGTACCGTTCTCGACCCTTTATCCTCGTCTGATTTCAGTTCCCCCCCCCCCCCCTCCCGCGCGAAGCGCGGAAGCTTTTAATCTTCATTTAATCATTAGAGAAGAAGACGATTCGTTGTACAGTTCTCGACTCTTAATCCTTGTCTAAATTCAGTCCTCCCCTCCCCCTCCTGCGCGAAGCGCGGAAGCTTCTACGTTTCATTAAATCATTAGAGAAAGAAGACGATTTGTTGTACAGTTCTCGACTCTTAATCCTCGTCTGAATTCAGGTTCCCCCCCTCCCGCGCAAAGCGCGGAAGCTTTTAATCTCTCATTTAATCATTAGAGAAGAAGACGATCATTGTACCGTTCTCGAAAATAATCCTCATCGGAATTTAGTTTCCCCTCCATCCCGCGCGAAGCGCATAAGCTTTTACGTTTCATTAAATAATTAAAGATTCGTATTACCGTTCTCGCCTCTGAATCCTCGTCTCAATTCAGTCCCCCCCCCCCCCCCCTCCTTCCCTCCTGCGCGAGGCCTTTGACGTTTTATTATTAGAGAAAGAAAACGATGCGTTGTACCGTTCTCTATACTCTTTAATCCTTGGTCTGAATTTCAAAGAGGTGGGGTCGAGGCGGCGGAGCCGGCCCCGGAAGCTCAGGGGTTTTAGGCGTTTAATTAAGGTCAGATGAGCATTTTTGTGTATACCTTATTATTTTTGTGACACTGGCAAGTCACTATTTGGCGTGGGGTCCAGGGGGCGGAGCCCCAAAAAATCAGGGGTTTTAGGGCATTAAATTACCGTCAGATGATCATCTAAGGGCCCGCCGTAGGGCCCTAGATGGAATCCAGGGGGCAAAGCCTCCGGAAAGCTTAGGGGTTTTAGGCATTCAATCACGGTCAGATGAGCATATTTTGATGCCTCGAGGCTCTCGATCCCGCGCCGTACCTCGGGCCCTGACATGTAGGAATCTCAAGAATCAATTTTTTTCCCTGGTTGTAAATTTAGGAATTTTTATTTTCCAACAAACACAATACAAACGTATAATTTACTAAAAAGTGAGGAAAAATTTCGGAAATTATGTCATTTCAGCATTATTTGTAATACACCGTTGTGGAATCAGAAATAAACCACGTTTGAATTTGATTTCTCCCAAGCCCCCCCCCCCCTATCAGTACGCCAGTATCTCCTCTTTTACTTTTTTTTTCATTCCCTTTCCTTCCTTCTCTCTTATTTTTTTTTGATGGGGGGGGGGGGGTTAACAGCCTGGGAGGCAAGGCCCTTTCGGCCCCCCCCCCCCCCGATCTCCTTCTTCCCCCTTTACTTTTCTTCTTCCTCTTCTTTCTTTCCCTTTTTCTCCTTTTTCTCTTTCTCCCTTCTTTTCCTTCTTCTCTCTTTTTTTTTTTTTTTTTTTTTTTTTTTGCGGGGGGGGGGGGGGGCCAAGGCCCGCTCGGCCCCCCCCCCCTGGATCCGCGCCTGCGGTAGACCCTTCCCTATCAGAATGTGCCCGTTGACCTTAAAGATTGTAGTGGATGTGACCACCAGGGCCATGACCATTTCGGATCAAGAACATTATAATTTTACATAATGTCCGATTTGTTAATTTAAGTCAAAACACATTGTAAGTATGTAAATATAGTGTAAAAATACATGTTACGTCATTTCCAATAAAAAGATATGTAATCAAAATATTCAAAATAAGTTAAAGTAACATTAAGGTATGTAAACAAAAATATAGAAAGTCATTTCCAGTAACAAAATAAGGCCATTGGCACGGAAAAGGAATGTTAAAGAAGTTGTTATCTTTGAAACCCCCTCGAAAAATGAATCACAATAATGTATGTCCGTATAATATGAAAATATCTCGCAAGAAAGATACGAGATCAGCAAGTAAGGTTCGATTATACAATGACATGCCATTTTGTTATTCTTCTTTTTCTTTCTCCTTCTTCGTCCTCTTCTTTTTCTTCTTCTAATTCTTCTTTTTCTTCCACATCTCATTCTTCTTCTTGTTCTTCTTGGTGTTGTTGTTCTTCTTCTCATTTTCTTCTTTTCCTTCTTCTTACTCTTCTTCTTGTTCTTCTTTTCCTCCTCGTCCTTTTCCTCCTTATTGTTGTTCTTCTTCTTCAGCAGCTCTGTATCCGATCCAGCATTGAAGAGCAAGGCGGCTTCAGTGATGTTATTTTTTCTTGGTCTTGGGGATCTTTTTAGGTGTTTCGATATATCTTTATTTTCCTTCTGTACAAGATTCAAAGTATTTTCTTAAATGATTGCACTGGTTGATTTAGAGGCCGATAAATAACACCAATTAAACATTTTTCTTTGGGCCTGCTGTATGAGCCTTGATTACAGAAACTGTTATATACTCTTCAACAACAAACTTAACAATAATAATGATAAAAAATCATTGAAATATTAGTTATGAACTACATTTTTTAATTTCACAGCTGTATATTACAGCTGCATAATGATTAACAACTTAGATGTTGATCTGAAATCGAAAGAAGTTCCCAAAGTGATACTCAAAAAAATCTGTTGTACCCCAAACAAATTAATTAGAACCATTTTGAAGTTCTAATAAGAAATGATTGATTGGATAGAAAGAAAAAAGGCAGAAATATGAAATGAAATTTTAAATGACAAGTCTCGTTTCAAGAAAATATGTGTACATGCTTGTGCTCGTACTACATATCAACAAAACTTTGTCACAAAAAATACTTGGCCTGTCTTTCTACAAGACTTGCATGATGGAAGTGATGAAAGATGACTATAAGTAGCATGTTTCTCATAATAAATTGCTGATATTTATCAGTCTCATTATTTCAATGGTAGATTTTGTTAAAGTTATCTGCATTATAATTTAGAACCAATAATGCTCCAACTGTGAAGAAAGCAAAGATTTTTTTTAAAGTTTACACCTTGTAACCAATACTACAACATAAATGTTTGTGTATTTATCATTGAATATTTAATGACATTGTCTTAATTATTTTTGATAACTTCTTATCCACATTGATACATTTTTCTAAATCTGATATACTACTGCTGTGTGATGTTACCATTGTAATTGGATGTATGTATTATAATGTAAATATATGACTGCACCTGTACTTTGTAAAACTGACAATTTCATGCTTAAGCTGCATGTCGTGTTTTTTTTCTTCAATTGAACTCGCACTGCACCACCCCCTACAATGCCACTATTGATGCTCACTAATCTATTCATGCACTGCGGCGTGATCACTGAACCAGCGTCTAAGTATGTGTAGTCGGCATTCTATATAGTAATACTATGTGTAATGACTAATGTGGGGAATATCCGTCTCTCAAGTTTCAATATCATATTTTGAAATTGCACTTGTCTCAACCACACCTTCATCCCTCTGGCTCTAGTAGGTCAACAACTTTTCTCTATGTTTTGGGCGTTCTCGTGAAATAAGCCACTGGTCACCGAGTGTGAAAAACACACACACACCCACCACACACACGCACACCCACATACACACACCCGTGCGTGTAAAGTATATGGGGAGGTGAAATCCCGCATGTCGCTGTGTATAAGGTGAATGAGCAGTGGCTTATTTCATTTAAAAATGCCATGTTTTGTTTCATTTCGTTAGTTTGGAGCTATAAAGGTGTTATCCTCTATGTACATTATATACTTTAACAAAGAGTTAACATCCTTTTGGTTCTAAGTAGATTTAAAATTTCCCCCTTAATTTGTCTATCCTTTCGTCTGTTTGGAACCAAGAAGACGTTAGCTCATAATAGAGTTAACGCCCTTCTGGTTCTGAACTGTTATCATTTATAATAATAACCATACCTGACAAGACAATGGTCTTTTTTCCAAACACAATTTATGTAAGATGTTCCATTAGTGTATTGAAAAATAGCTCTAGCAATTGCTTCAGTATTTACGGTGTAATTTTGCCTCAGATATACGCACACATACATAGAACATAATATTGTCATAGCCATTAACTGCGCATGAAATGTTCTTACTATTTCAAGGGAAAACTTAACTTTAGTTGGATTTTTTGACCTCATTGTTTTATTTTCTTCAATAAACAGTATTCAATTCAATACATTATATCTCATATCAGAAAGATGCATGCCAATTCATTTGTAGAATTTCCAGTACCTTTTAATTTACAAATTACCAGTCTTTACAGTCTACATGCAAAATAACTTTACATGTACACAGACATTTTGGAATTTAAAGGCACACTGTCCTACTTGTAGCTACTTGCTCCCTCTATATAGAAAACTTCCCCAATCGGTGCCTGTTGATCCCCCATGATCCTCTTTTTCTTATGTTAAATGAGAGCTGAGTTAATGAGATAGCCACCTGTCACAGTGACCTCGCTGGCTCGCTGGGTGGTCTAATCCCTTCTAGCTGAAGTAGTAAAGCCTACCTTTAAATGCAATTGCCTTCAAAAAGCCGCGCAGTTTGAACCGGAAGTGAAGGTGCCCATGCATGTTCGGACATGTCTAATTCTTGAGAGACAAACTAGACATTTCACAATCTGATGTACTTGTATTGACACTATATTTATTTATATATATATATATATATATATATATTATATATATATGATGCTTATATCAATGCATACATAATTGATACAGAAAACTTTCATTTGTATATACAATCATAACATGTAGTTGGGGCTTCTACCAGATTGTTTTTCCATGTGCGCTATATAAGAAGCCACCATTATTATTAGTAGTATTTTGATAGAAAATGTATTATGGTTTTGCAAGATGCATGTGAGAGAAACCTCATAGAGTTTTAATGACGGGTTCGGAACTCTGTAGGGTGGTGGGGGGGGGGGGGGGGGGGGTGTCAGTCTGAGGGGAAGACCAGCCAAACATAAACAAACATGGAGTTTTGGGGCAATGCATGGCATTCATGCTAAAACTCTTGCAAGAACACTGAAGAATCGGATACGGTTGGATGCCAGTTTGAATTTTGTCATTTGCAGTAAATTATTTTAACCAATCGAACATTGAATGTATGAATGAAGTATATAAAACATATACTGCCTTTATTCGAGTATCTGGATTAATATAAAACCATGGTCCCTAAGTGACTGCAAAATAGTGTTTTTTCAGTCACCCTTGGCCCATGATTTTAACCAGAGCCTCTCATGGCAGTATATATTTTGTATACCTCGGCTATCACAATCTGCTCGTTTTGTCATAAAGTTGGTGGTGGATGTGACCACCATGGCCGTTACCAATCGATTTTTTAAAATACCACATTATCATATATAACACCATTATCTTGCATCAAGAAAATATTGTTTTTCGATTGGTTGAGAGCTCTTCACGCGACCTGAAATATTCTAACCACTTTCAGGTTGCTCTGAAAAGTACTACTTAGGAGTTGAAAGTTCAGCGAGCGTACGGGATTAAATGACTCCAGCGGGCAACTCGAAGATGCCAACCCTCCCTGATTTACAGGATTTTAAAAAAAAATTGTATACGTCACTCCCCGGGTGATCAAGGGGGGGGGGTCATGGGGCGCACGCCTCTCTTTTTTTCTTCCAAAAAAAAATAGCAGGAAAAAAGCATAGAAATATTAACATAAATATTCAGTTTACGCATTCAGAAATACCTCATAATGTATATATAGAGCATCATAAGGTTCAACATTTTCCGGGCCCTTAAGTGGGCCCGGACCCCTTGTCGTAAAGGCTTCGTGCTGTGCGCTCGCAATTCGTGTATTACGCCCCCACCCCTTTTGAAAAATCCTTGATCCGCCACTGTCAGTGACTGACTCCACACAAATTTTAATGCCCCCACTGGTATTTTGGAAAATTATTCCTATTATGCTGTATGCAATTGATAGAAACCTCCCTGATTTTTGAATAAATACTCCCCGAAAGCTAAATGTAAAGGTTTGCATATTATTTGTCTCATGCACAGCGCTCACGCCGTGCAATCTATGCTAAGCCACAGTCTTATTATTCTTCATCCACAGCAGTTTCATTTTAATGAATGTGTGGTGAATGTGGTGAACCAATGGAACATGGAAGAATGTAGATATACTTTGAAACACTGTTCATTAAATGTTTGGGACACTGTAAGATTATGTTAATCGTTGACGTTAGAACATGTTTCAGTTAGAGTTAGCTGAATTTGGATTCATTGGAAACCTGTTGGAAACCTCAAGACACGAGCAAATATAAAGGTGAGTTCTTCTGCTCGATTATACATTTTTGATTTAAGATAAAAACAAATATACCCTGCCTTCTTTTCAAGGTACTGGTTAAAACTATTTAGTGCAAGGACAGAGAGGGAAAAGGGCAGAGAATAGGATAGATGGGGAAGAAGGAAAAGGAGAAAAGGTTAATGAACAGGAGGAAGGAGGGGAAAAAGAAAGAGAAAGAAAGAGAGCGAGCTAAAGGGGAAAAGGAAAATAATAAGATTTACAAGTAAGAAGAAGGAGAAAAATTAAGGTATAGGAGGGGAGATAAAGAAAGAGAGAGAGAGTGAGAGAGAGAGAGAGAGAGAGAGAGGAGAGACGGGTGCAGTATCCTAAGTCCATACGAGTTCAAGCATGTGCATTTCAACAAAAGGGTACGCATTGGTAACAATGAACGACTGTCTGGCTTTTCACAAGAAGCCTGTTGAAATTTAAAAAGGGAGAAATCTGTGCGGGTATGTGCATGATTTCTTATGAGATATGTATCTGAATTGACTGAATACATTCTTTAGGATTGACGATTCCCGCACCTGCTTTAATGTATAGTACAGCACAACAGTGAAGAAGCTGACAGAGTTCTCATTCTCGGTAAATGATATGAATGACACTGTCGCGTGGGATAATAGGCTATTTTTGTAATGTAACAACATTAATAATGCAGACGTCTTTGTGAAGTGCCTCGATACAAACTATTTCATTCACCTGATGAGAATACCGGTAATAGTATTTTTTTAAATTATTATTATAAAACAAATTGAGGGGGGTTCGACCCCCCCCCCCTTCTGCGTACGTGCCTATCTCAAAGACTTGTGTATTACATTTGGTGAAATTACGAAAATGGCCTATTATGGTGTTGTTGGGTTTTTTGAAAACATAAAATTGAATATTTAAATTTTTAGAATATTAGCTTCATAACAAGTTTTCAAAAAGGAGCAAAGTATCCAATGTTGTTAATAATTCGAAGTGCCTTTTTTTGTAGTAATTAATTCTGTTCATTTGAGGTTTAGAGGAGTTCCCCAGGCAAGAATTCCATAGTTCCATATAGGGGGGGGGGGGGGGGGGGGGGGTAAGAGGACACTTTTTTTTTTTTTTGGTCTCGAAATTAGACAATTTGACATTTTGCTCCGTTGGGGGTAGGTCACCTGTTTTAGGTCAGTCATGGGAATATTTTTTTTTTTAATAATAAAAATTAAAAAAAAAAAAAATCCAAAAGAGGGGGGGGGGGTTCAACCCCCAAACCCCCCCCCCCCCTGTGTACGCGCCTGAGGAGCGCCATGTAAATGTATTATATTATTGAATATTGAAATTTATATCTGATTCCTTGTCAAAATCACTGTTCACTGAGTTTCAAGTATGACTGAGTGCCATACAAAAAACCACTATTATCATTTTCATTATGTTTTCAATTGTGGTTAAGAAATTGTTAAGAGATTTCCGGCTTGCACTGGGTTGATCCCGCTGGTTCAAAGATTTTTTTATGACTTGTTTTTATTTACATGATCGAGCACGCGTTCTTTATTTACATGGGTGCATACCAAACATTTCTTTACAACAATAAACGTCATTGTGGTACTATTTCATGTAGCGACACGTCGCATGGAAGATAAATTCATATCGTACCAGGTTTGATAATGTTAAAGAATACTGGATTTGAAACCCGGGCCATGCTCTCTCTCTCTCTCTCTCTCTCTGTCTTTCTCTCGCAGTACAATTGGGTAAATACATGTTCCCTTTTGTCCCTCCCCCTAAACTACTTCACTTGAAAGTAAAAAAAAAAAAGAACCTGGAAACAAGGATGATGAAGGAAATACTTGTTATAGCTTACTGTTTCCCAGGTTCATGATTTACCATAATGATGATGGAAATGAGAATGGATAGTTGAATCATTCGTGTACATAATGAGGATGAAAAAATGTTAATACTGTTCCCTTCTTGAGAGCCCTACAATCCTATTATTACACCAGCATTTGGCACGCTACAAACCATTGGGAGGTCGCGTCGGGTCGGATGGTTGCGTTCCCATGCACCCCCCCCCCCACTCAGTGTTATTAAGGGTACGCATAATTATGCGTGTTCCCAGCACCCCCTCCCCCTTTTCAACATAAGTCCCGTGTGTTCAATCAATACGGGTAGAACTTTTTCTTTTGTTATACGAGCCTTTTCAGCACCCCCCCCCCCCCCTTTCAGCATAAGTCTGGTGTGTAAAGTCAATACGGGTAGACCTTTTTCTTTTGTTACGAACCGGAGATTTTGGGAACACGCATGTGCGTACACTCTAAAAACTGAAATGTTAAATCGCCATTTAAAAGGGCCGAGGAGTGACCACTCTTTCAAAATGGTAGATTAACCCTTTGAACATGCTGGATCCAACACTATAAAGGTTGAATTTAGCAGGTTAAAAGACACAATCTGACATTTTGAAAGAGTGGTCACTCCTCGGCCCTTTTAAATTGACATTTAACATTTCAGTTTTTAGAGTGTACCTCAGTTCCCGGATTGTGGGGGGGGGGGGGGAGGGGGGGGGGCTGGATTGCGTTATCCGACCTTTTGTGAATACATGCCTCTTTATTCATGAAATGTCGGAGGTAATGTGAATAAACCCCTTTCTCACTACAATAGCCTGGTCCAATTTACCCAACACTTTTTTTTTTTTTATTTATGTTTTTATTAAGAAATCAAATCATAACATATACAAACTTTCCTAAAAAAATACAAATGCTGTGTTACAAAGAAATTAATGACAAATTAAGATATTTACAAACAATTGAGATGATCTGGGGAAGAAAAAAAATAAAGAAAAAAATAAGGCAGAGTACACGTAATATAAATAATCAGAATTATAACAATTACAAGCACAAAAGCAAGAACCTCGAGATAGCATTGCATCAGAAACTGAAAATTTCGTTGGGCCCAAAATGAAGAAAAAGGAATAAAAATAAGCCATCCACAGGTACAATGGAAACTCCAGACCACCAACAGGTCGGAGGAGCAAAGTCGAGGAATGAGACAATCCGCCCTACCCCCCCCCCTCACACACACACCCTCAACACTCTCATACTAACACTCAAACACACAACCGCCCCTCCCCCCTCCCCCCACCCCCCCCCCCCCCCCCCAACACACACCATCCACACGCAACATGCGGGTAAGACAGATCGCCTCACATGCACCCCGACCCCGCCCACTCCAGACACCCAGTCGGCGAATTGCGCAGACAGAGCGTGGGGAAATCGACTGAAGTGATACAACGCATTCCTGTATAGGTAATAAGGAAACACGCGTAAACTGACCCAATTCCAATCGAGGTTATTGCTCATGTTACACAGTGGCAATGTCATTTGTTAACAAAAATTATATGCACACAAGTAATGTAAAATTATTTGACAATGGGAAATAACTAACAGCAATGTAAAAGGGGAAAGAAGAAAAAAAAGAGGTTGGAGTAACAATAAATACTTGTATCAGGCTCTGTAAAGGGGCACAGGAATATGTACAGAAGTAGACATGGGAGTACAAAAGACGAAATATTACATAACAAGATCACTGTAATTTACCCAACACTTTGTGACAAACGAGCACATTCTAATACATGTAGCTAAAAGTCCTAGCAGAAATACCTAATTTAAGATGGTGTATAAGGGGGTGGGTCCTTTTCAATTATTGGCCCATGGACTAATATTGCTAATACCTGTGAGAATTGTCATCATACACTTTAGATGCAGATGCACAGAGTGTTTCCCACTCAAAATGCGCATCCTAAGTGTGTCAACTCATTTGGGATAGCATGACATATCAATCACATTATTGTTATCGTTTATTTTCTTTGTGTTGCACGACAACATATATTACAAGTTTAATCAAGGAAAAGGATTTTACTGGACAGATTTATAATGTGTAATAAAACGTTATAATTAGTTATTCTCGGTAGTCCTAAATCACACTTTTATGCTTCATTGCGCCGTATATTATGTGTGTAATGTCCAACTTTTATTATTAAAGGTACTATGTCCCTTTTGCAGCCAACCTCAAATTCTGTAGAACTTTGCAGGAATTATGAATATGTCATGTATGTCCTATCTGTAAAATTTAAACGTTGGCAGTGTCCTCATATTCAAATTATGCAAGGAAACCAGTTTACTTGCTAGACTTCACTGTCAGACACTATTGAGTGACTGACTGGCTTTTTTTCTTCTTTGGTAATAACATACATGAAAAGAGTTGTAAAAGGTACATGAGCATTTGTCTACATCAATAACCCACTTCTTGTGATGGCCAAGATTAAACTGATTGAATCTTTGCGCAGCATAAAACGTACGACCATTCGGTACAATTGTCTGAAAATCAAGACTATTACTTTTGGGCTCTATAGCCCTAAAGTCGATTTGACAACTAATAGTCGTTATTTTCCCACTTGAAAACATTTTCAAGCCCCACCTTTTTTAGGGAAGTTCTAAATTAGTATTATCTTTCAAATGCAGTTTGAATTTAACTTTTTCATTTTTTTGGCCTGCAAATGGGACATAGTACCTTTTAAACAGGTTTATTATTTCAAACTCATATTGAAAATGTTATCAACTGAAAGGTCCTTCTCAGATAATACGTATTCGGTCAAAAAATTAAAAAAACATTCCTTCAAATTTTTAATTAAAAAATGGGCGTGGCATTCACCCATAACTTATGTTATTAGTTTAGCAAGTATGGATCATGAAATACCCCAAAATAACGTCCAAAGTTAAATTAACGTCTTGGCTGGTCTACTATTAAAATCTGTAAAGTTCCCGTTTTACTCTATTTCCAAGACAAGCTAAAAAATGGTTGCCAAACATTTTTTTATAAAACATTTTTTTAAATGCCGGCACAAAAAAAAAATGTACATTTACCTCTCAAAAACATATTTTGGGACTGGTTTACATAATACCTTTAATGAAAATCATGTGTCATTAAAGCTGATATTCTAAGCAAATAAATGTCCCTTAATTTGGTACCTACGGCAAGCATATGTTATTTATAAGTTTTTCAATTACATAGTATATCACCAAAAAAATTCTGGCTACTCGCAATCCGCCATTATTATAGCCTATATTTATTAATTACCAAGCTTTTTTTTTTTTTTTACAAATAACTGTGATGAAAAAAGTAACAAACAAATACAGATCTAACAAACATTAAAAGGTTCGAGCCCTATCGGCTATCGACCATGCCCCATCGAGCGAATGTTTCGATATTTTTTTCTCACGAAATTACATAAACAACTTTAATGAATAAATGGGCACCGGGGTAATATTGGATCGCCTTGAGCACCTTCCGTGGTGGATATGTGCGCTATAGAAATATCCAATATCATTATTATTATCATGAGTGAAGCAATTTACTGTTACAAATATACCGATCAGATTACATTTAGATTAAACGATAATGGCGGACAGGAGCAGAAATAGCGAGGAAAGACAACTAAAAACGATCAGCCGAACGGTGTTTGGTGATGCCGTGGACGATCCAGATGTCGTCAAAGAGGTATTAAAAAATATATCATTATTATTATTATTATTATTATTGTTATTATCATTATTGTTATCATTATTGTAACTATTATTGAGAGTAAAAGTAGTAGGAGAAGGAGTAGTAGTAGTAAGTAGTAGTAGTAGTATATATAGAAGTAGTACATGTATCATTATTATCGTAAAAGTATAAATAATAATAAATGATGGGGAAGATAGAATATGAATATAACATACTGAATCAGATTACCATGGTTCATTTCCATGTGTAATCGTAACATCCTACTAACATTGCCCCAGTTCTAATGTTTACTGTGGTTGAAGGGAAATATTAAATAAAATATCGTCTGGGTGGGAATAAATTGAGTGAGAATGAAGAAAGAGGGTGCTTGTGAGAGGGTAGAAAATGCATTAAAATTATAGAAAGAGAGAGAGAGAGAGAGAGTAAGAAAGTAAGCACACAGTACATAAATAAATATATTACGTTGATATTGACAGGAAACGTGTACATTCAAACCTGTCTCACTGGTTGCCTGTCTTTAGTGGCCGGCCACCCATATTTGCTCCCTTAAGAATGGAATGTGTGTTGTAGAACCTGTCTGAAAAGGTCACCTGTCTACAGGGGGCATTTGTGTGTGTGTGTGTGTGTGTGTGTTTTCCTTGGGTGGCCTGTATAGACAGGTTTGACTGTATATTCATCCCACCACAGGACGATCAACGAAATGGAACAGCCGAAGGACAACCTCTGGTGGAAAGGACTCCGTCAAATGACTCGCCCGAAGTCGGTAATAACAATGGCATACAGGGACCATCTGAATCTGGAACGGATGATACAGCATCATCAGGAGATGTGAACCCTCTTGTTGATACCAGAGTCAAGTACGTAGGTATAGTTTGCGTTGAATAGCAGACGCGGGATATGAGGGTGGGAGGAGGGTGGGGGTGGTGGTTAGGACGTAGTTAGTGAGGCTGAAAGAGATGAGAAACAAACAAAGAACACGACAGAGGGAGAGGGGAGGTAGAGAGAGGAAAAGAGAGAGAGAGAGAGAGAGCGGGAGATAGAGAGAAGCAGACAGACAGAGTCGGAGAGATGAGAAAAGAGAGAGAGAGAGAGAGAGGTGAACACAAATAAGAGGTCCTGATAGAGGGTTGGGGAGTAAAAGACAAATGCAAAGGGGAAGCACTTTATTTGTGGGAATAATAATGTTTAATTGATGACTGAAAAAAAGAAGACGAGGACGATGGGATATCAACAATGAGAGGGGGGGGGGGGCAGAGGTGAGAAACACTTTATGGTAGTATTTCCAACAACATAAATCATATTGGAAAACGTGAAACCTGTATGGGGGCTTTATTGTGTAAAACACTTGTATAAAGTACAATATTGGCCTATCGTTGGTATTTTTCGTGCTCATATAAAATTCAAATTATTATCATATTGTTCTTTTACGAGAAATGTATAATTTATTATCATCTCTGTATAATCCCGAAGAGGCATGTGGTAGTATTATACTTATGCTTTTCTGCTTATTGTAAATTTGACATTTGCTCTCAATTATCTTTGTTACACTATGACTTTGTTGCTATCCTTTGTTTGAAAATTAAGTGAGAATGATTCTAATAGTTTGCATTACAATACATTTTGAATTTGTGTCAGATCCAGCGTAATATATTGCCGGATTGCGTTTTCTCGGAGGACGGAGAGGGGGCACCAAATTCCCCACTTCTTGCAAAAGAGAACCCAGATTCACCGTCGTAAAGAATTAAGCAATCCATTTTTAAACTTGCAGATTCAATGTGATGGCCATCTTCTTCATACAGGGTATAGGAACGCTTTACCCGTGGAATAGTTTTCTCACGGTGGAATGGGTGAGTATAATAATATACGCCTAAACGCTGTAAAATATATAGAAGAACAAGAAGAAGACGAATGATAATAATGGAAATTGAAACCAATAGATGATGGCGAAAACTTTTTGTATCCAGGGTGACTTCGCATAATATGAGGGCAGGCGCGGATCCAGGATTTCTTAGGGGGGGGGGCCCAAATTTGAAATTATGCGAGCCAAAAATTGGAACGTAATGGTGACCAGCAGTGACGTAATGCGGGGGGGGGGTGGGTGCAGGGAGGGGCGAGTTTCCCCCTCCCTCCTCCTCGAAACGCGATAGCTTTGACGTTTAATTAAATTATTAGAGAAAGAAGACGATTCATAGTACCGTTCTCGAAAATAATCCTCGTCTGAATTCAGGTTCACCCCTCCCGCGCGAAGCGTGGAAACTTTTACGTTTCATTAAATAATTAGAGAAACAAGACGATTCGTTGTACAGTTCTCGACTCTTAATCCTCGTCTGAATACAGGTTCCCCCCCTCCCGCGCGAAGCGCGGAAGCTTTTACGTTTCATTAAATCATTAGAGAAACAAGACGATTCGTTGTACATTTCTCGACTCTTAATCCTTGTCTGAATTCAGTTTTCCCCCTCCCGCGCGAAGCGCGAAAGCTTTTACGATTCATTAAATCATTAGAGAAACAAGACGATTCGTTGTACATTTCTCGACTCTTAATCCTCATCTGAATTCAGTTTTCTCCCTCCCGCGCGAAGCGCGGAAGCTTTTACGATTCATTAAATCATTAGAGAAAGAAGACTATTCGTTGTACCGTTCTCGAAAATAATCCTCGTCTGAATTCAGTTACCCCCCCTCCCGCGCGTAGCGCGGAAGCTTTTACATTACTTTAAATCATTAGAGAAAGAAGACGATTTGTTGTACAGTTCACGACTCTTAATCCTCGTCTGAATACAGGTTCCCCCCTCCCGCGCGAAACGCGGAAGCTTTTACGTTTCATAAAATCATTTGAGAAACAAGACGATTCGTTTTACATTTCTCGACTCTTAATCCTCGTCTGATTTCAGTTTTCCCCCACTCCCGCGCGAAGCGCGGAAGCTTTTACGATTCATTAAATCATTAGAGAAACAAGACGATTCGATGTACATTTCTCGACTCTTAATCCTCGTCTGAATTCAGTTTTCCCCTTCCCGCGCGAAGCGCGGAAGCTTTTACGATTCATTAAATCATTAGAGAAATAAGACTATTCGTTGTACCGTTCTCGAAAATAATCCTCGTCTGAATTCATTTTCACCGCCCCCCCCCGGCCCCTCCTGCGCGAAGCGCGGAAGCTTTTACGATTCATTAAATCATTAGAGAAAGAAGACGATTCGTTGTACAGTTCTCGACTCTTAATCCTCGTCTGAATACAGGTTACCCCCTCCCGCGCAAAGCGCGGAAGCTTTTACGTTTCATTAAATCATTAGGGAAACAAGTAGATTCGTTGTACATTTCTCGACTCTTAATCCACGTCTGAATTCAGTTTTCCCCCTCCCGCGCGAAGCGCGGAAGCTTTTACGATTCATTAAATCATTAGAGAAACAAGACGATTCGTTGTACATTTCTCGACTCTTAATCCACGTCTGAATTCAGTTTTCCCCCTCCCGCGCGAAGCGCGGAAGCTTTTACGATTCATTAAATCATTAGAGAAACAAGACGATTCGTTGTACATTTCTCGACTCTTAATCCTCGTCTGAATTCAGTTTTCCCCCTCCCGCGCGAAGCGCGGAAGCTTTTACGATTCATTAAATCATTAGAGAAAGAAGACTATTCGTTGTACCGTTCTCGAAAATAATCCTCGTCTGAATTCATTTTCACCGCCCCCCGGCCCCTCCTGCGCGAAGCGCGGAAGCTTTTACGATTCATTAAATCATTAGAGAAAGAAGACGATTCGTTGTACAGTTCTCGACTCTTAATCCTCGTCTGAATACAGGTTACCCCCTCCCGCGCGAAGCGCGGAAGCTTTTACGTTTCATTAAATCATTAGGGAAACAAGACAATTCGTTGTACATTTCTCGACTCTTAATCCACGTCTGAATTCAGTTTTCCCCCTCCCGCGCGAAGCGCGGAAGCTTTTACGATTCATTAAATCATCAGAGAAACAAGACGATTCGTTGTACATTTCTCGACTCTTAATCCTCGTCTGAATTCAGTTTTCCCCTCTCGCGCGAAGCGCGGAAGCTTTTACGATTCATTAAATCATTAGAGGAAGAAGACTATTCGTTGTACCGTTCTCGAAAATAATCCTCGTCTGAATTCATTTTCACCGCCCCCCCCCCCGGCCCCTCCTGCGCGAAGCGCGGAAGCTTTTACGATTCATTAAATCATTAGAGAAAGAAGACGATTCGTTGTACCGTTCTCGACCCTTAATTCTTGTCTACATGTAGTCCCAACCCCCCAACCCCTCCTGCGCGAAGCGCGGAAGCTTTGACGTTTCATTAAACTATTAGAGAAAGAAGACGATTGGTTGTACCGTTCTCGAAAATAATCCTCGTCTGAATTCAGTTACCCCCCCCCCCCCTCCCGCGCGTAGCGCGGAAGCTTTTACATTACTTTAAATCATTAGAGAAACAAGACGATTCGTTGTACCGTTCTCGATGCTTAATCCTCGTCTGAGTTCAGTTTCCCCCCAGCTCAGACGTTTAAGGCAATAAATTACGGTCAGACAAGCATTCAGGGGCCCGCCTTAGGGCCCCTGGTGGGGTCGAGGCGGTGGAGCCCCCGGAAGCTCGGGGTTTTTAGGCGTTTAATTACGGTCAGATGAGCATTTTTTATAATCCTTATTATTTTGTCACACTGGCAGGACACTTAGGCGTGGGGTCAAGGGGACAAAGCCCCCCAAAATCAGAGGTTTTAGGCATTAAATTACCGTCAACTGAGCATCGAAGGGCCCGTCTTAGGGCCCAAGGTGGAATCCAGGGGGCAGAGCCCCGGAAGCTCAGGGGTTTTAGGCGTTTATTTACGGTCAGATGAGCATTTTGTTATAATCCTCATTATTTTGTGTCACTAGCAGGACACTATTTGGCGTGGGATCCAGGGGGCGGAGCCCCCCAAAATCAGCGGTTTTAGGCATTAAATAACCGTCAGATGAGCTTCGAAGGGCCCACCTTAGGGCCCTAGGTGGAATCCAGGGGGTAGATCCCCCGGAAGCTTAGGGGTTTTAGGCATTTAATCACGGTCTGATGATCATATTTTGATGCCTCTTTATTTGTTAACACTGGCAGTTAACTATTCTTTCTTTCTTGCTCTCTTTTTTTTTCTTTTCTCTTTAATATATTTTTTTTGTTAAAGTGTGTGGGGGGGGGGGCTCGAGGCTCCCGATTCCCGCCGTTCCTCGGGCCTTGACATGTAGGAATCTCAATATTTCTTGCCTGGCTGTAAATTTAGGAATTTGTCATTTTCCAACAAACGCATAAAAAAGTATAATTTACTAAAAAGTGAGGAAACATCTCGGAAATTAAGTAATTTCAGCATTATTTGTAATCCACAATTATGGAATTAGAAATAAAACACGTTTGAATTTGATTTCCCCCAAGCCCCCCCCCCTCTATCAGTACGCCAGTATCTCCTATTTTCCTTTTTTCTTTCCCTTTCCTTCCTTCTCTATTATTTTTTTGATTGGGGGGGGGGCAACAGCCTGGGAGGCTAGGCCCTTTCGCCCCCCCGATCTCCTTCTTCCCCCTTTTTTTCTTCTTCCTCTTCTTTCTTTCCCTTTCTCTCCTCTTTCCCTTTCCCTTCTTTTCCTTTCTTCTCTCTTTTTTTTTTTTTTTTTTTGCCGGGGGGGGGGGGGGCCAAGGCCCGCTCGGCCCCCCCCCCCTGGATCCGCGCCTGTATGAGGGCATATATCGCAAATCATCGAAAAATATGCAATTTAATGATAACCATCCCGAAGAAATCTCTTACCTGTTGGTAGTCAGAAAGAAATAATCGTTTCATTCTCATAGTTTTTCACAGATTACAAATTTGCGAATGTCAGCGACAGCACGGAATACAAGGATAAATTCAACCTCTATATCACATTCGGCAACTTTGCTGTGTACGTCTTGTTTTTATTCATCGCTCTCTTCTTTGCAGGGAGGTATGCATGTGATTAAGTTCACATCTATTTTCTTATTTTAATTCCAGTCAGTCATAAACCACAATGAAATAGTGCATTTGTCGATCTTTTGTGATAATGATTATGTTGATAATGATATTAATTAAGGAACCCTGTGGAAGGTTAAATAGAAGAGGAAAAAAATATACCTCTTCAAAATGCCCGGTTACCTTCATTTTAAGTCATATTCTGATAGACCATGAAGTGCAGATATAATTTCATACCAAAATGTTGGTATTAATTCTGGGAGAACATTGTAGAAGACATTATTATGTGAAGAAGACATATATTTTTTTTTAAATAGGAATGGTATTGTATCGCTTCTTATTTCATTTCCAAAGGTTAATTTCCTTTTTCAATATCAGTATGCGTTATCCTTTTTTTCTGTGTGCTAATCGATGTGACTTTATAATCTTTTTTTTTCTTTAACAGTCGTTCTAAATTGCAGTGTTTCGTTTGCCTGGTGTTGCAGTTGTTCCTCTTTATCTTCACGACAATATTGGCAGCCGTCGACTCGTCTCAATGTAAGCATCATCATTAATGTTGTTTTCATTTTCACGTCACATTTAGCTTTAAAAAAACAATATGTTCCAGCGAAATATAAGCATATAAGAAGATATAAATTTTTCACACAGCGAATCCCCCGAAGTGAAGACACCCTTTTTTCGCTTTGCTTGGAAATTTTTTTGCTAACTTTTCTCGCCTGATGACAGATTTATTCCCACTAGCCTCCACCCCCCCCCCATTTACAAAATGTCAAGTTACACTCATAATAATGTGTCATGTCATCTTTCTTGCCTATTAAAATCATTCTCACATCTAATACAATTACACATTTTGTGCAATTTTAAACAATATTAGACCTTAGAATGATTCGGTCTATAACATCTGTTTGCTTGATATTCTTGTATCATTTTACTTTTTGTCAACATGTTTCTTGTGTTTTTTTTTAATAAATCTACACAGGGCCTGGAGCATTCTTTGGAGTCACTATGGTCATTGTGGTGTTATTCAGCGGTAAGATTTCAAATAAGTAAATATCAGGAGCGGTTCTCAAAGAAAAATATTGCAAACTTGGCTTGAGCCCCCCCCCCCCCCCCCTCCCTTAAAAAAATCCAGAAGCGCTTCTGGTTTATAGCTTAGGGAGAGGAGGGGTAATGTGAATAATTTGCATGGATGGAATTTTCTGTATAGCAAAGTACGTCAACAACAAAAATATATATATTTGTAATTCCAACTGTTTGTGTTATTGTTTGTCATATAGTAGCTATAAGCTTTTGAAAGGCATGAAACTATTATGGCATTCAGCACGAATCAATTCTTTCTGCTCTCTCTTGTGAACCTGTGTGTTTAATTTGCCTAACATGTAATTTTACTGATGACCGGTCGTTAGTATTTGCTAATGACCGGTTATTAGTAATTTCATTTCATAAAACATCATTTTATAAAATAAATACAAATTATCTTTTGAAACAATACTATGCACTATTTGTATATTATCACTAATTTCTGGCGAGTGTTTAGCGATATGAACAGTTGCGTCAATATGCAATATGCCTTTGTTTTGTTGAGGTTTTGTTTCTTTCTAGCATACGCAATTTTGTTTTGCTTTGTTCTGTCTGTTTTTTAATATTTATTTTTGTATTAAATGATGTCAGGAGTTGATTTCAATGAATTATGTCAATTTGTATTTGCATCCCATTAGCTGGGTCCGCTGTGTACCAATCCGGCATGTACTCCCTCGCAGCCAAAATCCCGGGCAGTTACAGCATCGACAGTTATATTGCTGGGCAGGTACAGTCATTGTTTCCTAAAAGATATGAATAGGCCTACTGTAAAGAAGAACAAAAAAACAAGGGGGGGGGGTGATAGTATCCAATGAATAGTAAAGAATTGATCTTTTTTTAATACTGTTCCTTTAATGTTTAGCTGTGTATAACTATTATTATACATGTGTATTATGATTATTTCACATTCTATATATTATTGCATGCATTGTATAACATTCTATCAGTGTGTAGACGTATATTCATTTGTTTTTATAATACAGTGCCTTTCTTGTAGTATCAACATTATTGTTGAAAGAGCACCCTGTTTAAATATTTTAATGAATAAATAAGTAAATACATGAATACTTTGCAGGAGGCAAATACTTGCGTATTTATAACAATACAAAGTGTATACAAAAATAAATTAACACAAATTATATTTCTATTATATATCAAAACTACAGGGCTGTGGTGGGACATTTGTGGCGGTATTTACAATCATATCGACTAGAGGTAAAATATAAAATTATTTTTTGTCTAATAATAATAATAATAATAATATTCCGCTTTTATATAGCGCTTACAGATGTACTGAAGAAATATAATGCAGAGGTGTCTTTTTTGTTAACAGTATACTTCTTGTTACACACGTTTGTCCTAAATAATACATTAATACATGGCAGCAGGCACGTACGCAGGGGAGGGGGGGGGGGTTAAACCCCCCCTTCAGTATTTTTATATGTGTATTTTGGAGCAACCCCCCCCCCTTTGTAATTTAAAAAAAAAAATTATGCCAATGGCTGACCTAAAAAAGGTACCCCCCCCCCCAACGGAGCAAAATGTCAATTTTTCAAATTTCGAGACCAAAAAAAAAAGTGTCCTCTTACTGGAAGAGGCTTCGTTGCTGAAGCCCCCCTTAAAATAATAAATTCTTCAAGCCCCCCCCCCTCATTTTTATCTTGATTCTTAATTGATTGACGTGGAGATGGTGTGGATAAGGAGAGCAAGACCCCAAATGTAAACCCCTCCCTTATATCAAATAATTTATATATATTATTTTAGAATCGCGCTTGGTGCAGGTTTGGAGGAACTTAGGGGTTCAAGGATTCCCCGAATCCTCTTGGGGGAAGTGTCTCTCTCATGCGCTTTGCCACTTTTAACATTTTTCTTTCAATGCATAGTTTACATCATTTAACATACATGATTTAACAGGCTGATGAGAATGATAAAACGATAACATCAATAAAGGTCTACGATATTCTTATGAAGTAAAATTATATACGCCAGGCAGAAATAATCTTTTTAGATTGGTCAGCCTTAAAACCCAAGAACAACAACAACAACAACAAGCTGTTGCCCATAAGGCTGAAATAATATTTCTGACCTCTTTCCATGAATTGATTGTGAGTATGTGGTTTATTCTTGTTCGATAACGTTTATGTCCTCAGAAAATTATCGATCGATCCAAAGAGTCACAGAGATTGATCAATGAAGTTCTAAGAAGATAAAACTTTATCTATCAATGATAAATAACATTGCCATAATCCTTTCATGAAAAGTGGAAAGAAAGAAATTATTCCAACTTTATTGGCAACGGTGTATATTGATTTCTCATCGGTATTTTAAAAATTAATTTTGTCCTTTTTAATAATCTTAGTCACAGACTCACTTCGAGGGTTGGCGATCATGCACTTCAGCATAGCCAGTGTCGTTCTGTTGGTCTGCACAATCACATACCGTCTGCTCTTTAAGCTGGTAAAGTTGATTACCATTCGTGATATATTGTTGTCAGATCAAATAAGAGAGTTGCATAAAGAGATTGATTCCTAAGACAAATTTGGTTTATTATTTGAAGAAGAAAAAGATATTGTAAATTATTTGGAATACTTTCTTTCCTTTGTCAAGTGAGGAACAACAAAATATAAAAGGAAGAGAAATCTTCAGACTCTCTTTAAAAAAAATGTTAGAGGCGAGAGAGAGAGAGAGAGAGAGAGAGAGAGAGAGCGATCTGTTTTCAAAAATAAAATTGAAAAAAGATTGCTGAACGATTTCAGATTGTAGATTATGGTTGCAGTTTATGTTATAGTTTATGCTTTATGATGATATTTGACTATTCTTGCTAAGGCACAGGATAGAGATTCTTTTTTCTTTGATAAGACTCGTTTGAATTTTAAAAGTAATGGAATATGAACGGTTACCGCTATACAAAAGACTATGAATGTTGCCTTCTTTTGCAAAATCATTCTAGCATCATGAATTTTCCTCCCTTTTCCACTCTCCATAGGACTATGTCAGATCGGCATTACCCCGTGGGGATGACCAAGCCAAGGCCTGGGATTTCAGTAGGAAAAATCTTCGAAATTTGTGGAAAATCGTTAAGATTGTAAGTAATTACGGATATTCTGAACGAATTCTTGAATTTGATTATAGCTTAGACTTCATTTGGTCTTTTCTGCCATAAAGATTCGGACAATTCGGAAGATCAAACTTGCATTCTACCGACGCTCTCCAAGGGGGCTCTGATGTGCAAGCAATGCCAGCTATTTCTATTGTCTCTTTTCTCTTCTTTTTTGTTTTTTTTTGTTGGGGAGGGGGCAGACCCGATAAACACAACATTTAAGGGAGGATAACGGCTGAATTGGGAAGATCAAACTTGCATTCTGCCGACGCTATTTGACAATACCTTTCTTTTTAAAAGGATGATGCGCAGCGAGCGAGCAAGAAAGTTTGCATTTTGTAGTTTAAACAATTTAGTCGACCACACCGGCAAATCAGTTCCTTTTTGCGTTCTCTCAATGGGGAGTTGGGGACAATCGTTCATTAAGATTTATGTCGATTGAATGCGGATGAGCGGGACTCCATATTTGTTTAGGACTCATGATAGATGATCATTTCCTTTGGAGTTGATTTTACACCAAAGCAGTGGTTGAATAACTCTCTGGAGAGTGGATTTTGTTGTGTGTGGCCTTCTACTCCAGTGGACATGCTCCCTAGCATGAATCCCTTAAGAGAATATGATAATCCGCTCATGTATCTTTAGAGTGAATTATTAAACCGTCCTTGGGTCGAACATGTCAAGCCAGTTGCGGATCCAGTGGGGGAGGGGGGGGGGCTGGAAAAAAAAACGTGAAAAAATGTTAATTTTACCTTTTTTGGGAGATGGCCCCCACCCCCCCTCCCCCTGGCGCTCAAGGGGGGGGGGGGTGCAAATTTTTAAATTTGCGCGGGCCCCCCCAAAAAAAAATGTGCTCACTACCCCCGGTATATTATGTACCATGATACAGACAGTATACTACCATGGCTTTATAATAGTGTACCGTAATAATTATAATAGTACTACCATGGAAGTACCCAATTAATATTACCTCTTTTGGGAGATGCCCCCCCCCCCTGGCGCTCAAGGGGGGGGGGGGGGGGGTGCAAATTTTCAACTTTTCGAGGGCCCCCCCCCCCCCAAAAAAAAAAAAATGTGCTCACTACCCCCCCCCCCCCCCCCCCTTCCCCCGGCCGGCGCGATTTTCAAATTTTCGGGAGCAAAAAGAAAAAAAATTGGACTCCCACCCCTAAGAAATCCTGGATCCGCGACTGGAAGTACCATGGTATATGTACCGTGGCCAAAATGCCGTGTATACCATGGTAATTTTATTACAAGGGATAAGTTCTTATGTTTAGCAAAATGTTCGGTAGCTTTTATGTTTTAAAATGATACACCACTATAATTACAGGCCAAGTGGCAGATCTTCAATATCGGGATGACGTTCTTCGTGACCTTGCAGCTTTACCCGGAAGTACTGGGTAACATCCAATCTTCAAACATCCCAAAGACATCACCAAACTTCCGGGAGAAATACTTTATCCTGCTTGTCTGCTTCCTCACCTTCAACTCTTGTGACTTTATTGGAAGTGTCCTGGCTGGGGTGCAAAAACGGGTGATGATTTAATACGGTTATATACTAAAATATTGATAGTAACAATAAAAACAACAACAACAATAATAATAATAATAATAATAAAAATTATAATAGCAGTAGTAATGATAATAATAATGATGGTGATAATAATAATGATGATAATAATAATAAGAATAATATTAATATATGACAACAGAAAAGAACATACTATTCGGAACGCGTCAAGACTGATACTCCTTTTCGCGTTGCAAAAAATTGCTGTTCCAGAAACCATTCAATATCATAATGCACGTTTTTCATAGAGGCGGGAATTCATCCCCATACAAACAAGGAAGGGGCGTAATGTATTTTGGAATCTCCCCAAGACGTACCCATCGCTAGTTGTGCATTTTTTCCCGGGGCGACATACGCCGACCTCAAGCTATGTTGGATACACTGTCGCTAATCAAAGGGTGCACCCCCCCCCAATCAAATGGCAAAATAAAAAGGAACAACAAAACTTGAGGGAATGCGAAAGGACGAGGGAAAAAGAACAATCAAAATAAAAGAAGATGACAAGGCCCACTTTAGAACCCTTTCTGCATTGTCTTAAGATATGTTAAATTGCATTTCTTTCACTAGACCAAGTAAGACCGCCCCGCCCCCTCCCGTATGGGCAACCCGACCTATGCCATTAACTGGATACGCCATTCATGCTATTGGTGTATATGTAATGAATCTCAATGATAATTTTCCTGTGAATTTACTACAGAGATTCCCTCGAATGACATGCATCGCCGTTATCATCCGTGTCATTTTCATCTTGTTCATCTTCTGCAACTATCGCCCTGATCAACGAACTCTACCCGTTTGGCTGAAAAATGACATCGCGTATGCCTTTTTTGTTGTGGTCTTCTCTCTGTCCAATGGCTACCTGAAAACTATTATTGTCGACGACGGGATAAAGTAATTAGAGAAGTATAATCATGATGATGATAGTAATAATAATAATACTAATAATAATGATAATAATAATTGATGATGATGACCCTACATGTACTACTTTTACTACTACTACTACTACTACTACTACTACTACTACTACTACTACTATACTACTACTACTAATGATTACACTATTAATAATACTACTACTACAACTACTACTTCTAATAATAATAATAATGCTAATGATAATGATAATAATACTAATAATATTGATAGTAATAAACGATTAATGATAATGATGATGATAATGTCTTTAAGAGACATAAACGAATGTACTATGCTTTTATATAAAATCAAAACTGGCCAATGGGTTATGAGATGTAACACTTTCAACATCAATCTTGCAAATAGTAGCTGCTATGACAGACATTACATCGGACAAGAAAGATAAGAGATCAGCAAGTATGGTTAAATAAAAATAGATTTGTTTAAAATAATACAATTTTTGTTATTCTTCTTTTTGTTCTTCTAATTCTTCATCTTCTTCATCTCATTCTTCTTTTGTTCTTCTCGTTCTTCTTCTTTTCATCCTTCTTTTCCTTCTTCTTCTCCTTTTCTTCTTTTCATTCTTCCTCTTTTCCCTCTTCTTCTTCTGCAGCTCTGTATCCGATCGAGCATTGAAGAGCAAGGCGGCATCAGTGATGTTATTTTTCTTGGTCTTGGGGATCTTTTTAGGTGTTGCGTTCTCACGAGTGTACCCCATGGTAGTGAATATTCCACAGATGGCTCCAAACGCAAACGTGACAATGCAGTAGCAAATTTAGATATTAATGTATAGTTATAACGATAACAAGTCATGTATTTTTTTTTTCCAGAAGGTTCGTATAATTCGGAATTTTTTTCCTTCTTAAAGTTCGTAATTTTGATGGTTCATAATTCAGCATATAGAACAGGGTTCATACTTCCGAAAATGAAATAGATCCCTGAATCCTTTTTTAGAATTATAAAACTTTGGAATAATCAAATAACGGATAAATAAACTTTGGGGAAAAAACTATGGTAACCCGCGTTGTGACCACTGGGACCTTTAAATAGTTCCCTCCCATAATGTATACGTTACCTATTATAATTTACATATAATACTAAAAGGAAACAAGAGTTGCCAGAGCTGTTGTATAGGTTATTTTCTCACACAATATGACTGGAACAAACATTTTGTATTACAACGCCTAACGTCTTGTTATTCTTATCGTCTAACATTGATGATTCTATGAAAGATCGGTTGAAATCTAATAACCTGAAATTAAGAGATAATCATACATTTTGCAATATACAATACAGTGAATATAAATGTATAATAATAATAATAATAATAATAATAATAATTGTGGGTTCTTGTATAGCGCTCATGTCTGTCACACTGGAGTCAAGTGTGACAGACATGAGCGCTATACAAGTACCCACTATGACTTGACACTCCTGGAGGGAACTATTGATGTTCCATGAAATAACTGACGAAGAGGGAGCAACTTCCAGTGGCGTGACTATCTCTCTCAGCTATAGTCCCAACTATGCACACTGTCAGATTTTATGACAAGCTATTATTTTGATAGTATTCCCCTTCCAGAAAATGCTGATACGAAAGATAAAATCTGCGATAATCCTCAGTCATGTGCTATATATTAATTTCTCTCGTGCTTTTTTCTAGTATCTTGTATTTTTCGCGCATTGTATTCAAATCTGAAATATTAATTGTATAGCTGTGTTTTGACCATGGTCGGAAAAAATCAAAACGTACACCTTTTTTCATTTCAGAAAGTGTTAAAATTAGAATGTGTATTTCATTCTCAAAATAGTTTGTGTTCCTTCGTTCGTTGTAAATGACTTGTATGGACAAAATGAAATGGCTGACGTTTCACTTAGACGCAAAACGTATATACAGTGTACATGTGCGGTAAATACTGAATAACTTGCCCTGTATGGTTAACCAGGAAACACAAAACGTTATTTTGACGAAAATAAACTTAATGTAAAAGATTTTTTAATTTTCTCAGGACGTTTTACTTGTTAGGTCGTGAGAATAAAGTCCGAAAATTCTCTCACAAGCAAAAAAACAAAACCAGAACAAAACCATCAAGTCTCTGCTATGCCATTAGGGCTTCAATAGCATAAAGAAAACCTTTCAACAGAAAACAAGGACGAAATACACAGGAATGAAAGGATCGTTAGGGTTAATATTATGAATTATATAGCTGGTGTATATATTTCAGGTTAGTGGAATTAGTTGAGCCTTATGTCTTCTTGGTCCAGACTCTTCACATGATTTAGGGCCGTGAAGAATTAGATATACAGTTGGATCTAAGTGTTCGTATAATTTTAAAGCTTGTTTAGAAATGGCGTGTTCTGCAAAGGGTTAAGCCAATGTATATACACCACCCACAAAATGTAGATATAAAATTGTAGTATTCGCATATTATTGTTCATTTTTCTTATGATATAGTATTGAAAAGGTGTGGGATTCTGATATTATAGGTTTGCAAAACAAAATTGTTATTCCATGGTAATTTCAGTGCTTTGTTTCTCTAATATCGACCTCCTATATGGACTGCAAGGAAATTCGGTAAATAAACAAAACACGTGGTGAATGGTTTGATAATTCAATATTTTGACATACATGTTTATAATGTATTATGGTGGTATTTTTGGATATGATGATATACATATATAATTATATAGAAAGATAATGTATTGATAAATACTTATTTGATATGTGTTTCTATTAAGAAAGTTTAATAAAAAAAAAATCTCTTTTAGAATAGTGTAAATGTATTGTGAGTTGGTATTCATAAATCTGTATGTACAATATCATTGCCCTGCGTATTTATTAAGTAACATTCTGTCTAATTTTGTTCTTCAAAGAATAATAAATATATTTAGCTTATTCATTAAGTCAACCCCTCTTATATTTTATCTCATCGCCACTCCCCTCCCCTCTTTCTCTCTCTCTCTCTCTCTCTCTCTCTCTCTCTTCTAATCTCTTCTCTTTCTTTCTCTTGATTTTTTTCTCTCTCTCTTCAATATGGATTTGAATGGGCAGCGTGGTGGAGAGATTTTGTTTGTTTTGGTTAATGCTGATTCACTTGTAGCTTTGACCATTTGATAATTCAGTAGGCTACTTGTTTGCAAACTGTTTTGCACCCTCTTAAATATAAATTAAAATCACAATATAAAGATCACATTGCTATTTATTCATTCAAAGCCTCGATGAAAAATATTTAATATCCAAATATTCATAAACATTATAAGGGTCTTAATGATTTCAAATGTTTGTTTATATTATTTAATATATGATGACCAGTTCATGAACAAAACGAATCGAACACTAACTTTATACCTGCACACACCCACATGTACACACTTTGTTTCTTCTTCTTTCTTTTCTTTCTTCCCACTTTTTATTTAGATATAGGCCTTTTTTTCTGAAAAAGAATCTTTAGACGTGACACTCTATCATAACAGCTTTATGTTCCACCCGCCCCCTCCCCTTCTCGGCTGCTATCGACTCAAGCATTCATGCTTAAAAGTATGTTGGCCTCTGCAATTATCTTGATTCTTTGATTTACTTTCATACTTTCAGCTTTTCAATTCATTTATAATGTTTTTTGTTGTCAAATGTCACATGCATGTTAATATGTAAATCATTTATATTATTCACTATTATTGTTGATTTAATATTTTGTGTTTGATTTTCAATAAATGCAGAAACATTTACTTTAAAAAAATACAAAAAACAACGCGTTTAGAAAACATTAACTAATATGGAAAGTTACTTTATATATTATTATGCACACTAAGCTAACTTAGTTGAACATGCCAAAGTCTTTTCGTAATTAATAATTAACTTGTTATTGGGTTCTAATGAACCTCTCAATTCAACTTATTGATTTTATGAGAAAAACACATAAAGGATACAGTATGTTATAGAGAAAGAGGGTATGATGGTATATACTGAGGGGAGAGAGAGAGAGAGAGAGAGAGAGATAGAGAGAGAGAGAGAGAGAGAGAGATAAAGAGAGATAGAGAAAATAAGCTTGTTACCAAGTTCTAAAACTTATTTATTAAAGAGGTGAGATACAATTTTGTTTAAATCAATACAAATTCGCCTAATTTCCTATGTTGAATTGCTAACCAAGAGATTTTTACCCCCTTGTAATATATATTTTATGTCTTATTAAGTCAAAACAGAATCACTATATTTACAAATAATTGGAGAGTAACACAATACATAAAATAAGACAAATAAATATCAGAACGTTAATCGTAAAATGATAATTGAAACATAAATACAACAGGAATACAGGCAGCCACAAAAGGTATTTTATTTCAAACCTCTATTTAACAAAAATGAGTTACCAGTTAGTATTCGTCTTTGGCTTTACGGTATTCAAGATCTTTAGTCGAAGCAATATAAGCTTTAGAACCTTGAAAACTGGGGATTTTTTTTTGAAATTTGCACATATAAATATAATATTTAATCAGAAGAAACAAATATGTTAGATTTATCTTGGTCATGACCCCTATGTGTTTGTCACATAGTTATAGACATGTATAATCAGAAACACTGTATTTGACAATCGAGATATTTGCCTTGATTTAATTGGTTTTAGATCAAGGGGGCACATACCCCTATCGACCCTCCAATACTCATTTACCCTTGGTAATTCCAGGCGCGGATCCAGGATTTCTTAGGGAGGGGGGCACAAATTTGAAATTATGCGAGCCAAATATTGGTACGTAATGGTGACCAGCAGTGACGTAATGCAGGGGGATGTAGGGAGGGGCGAGTTTCCCCTCCCTCCTCTGCAAAGCGCGGAAGCTATTATGACGTTTCATTAAAGTATTAGAGAAAGAAGACAATTCGTTGTACCGTTCTCGACTCTTAATTCAGCCCCCCCCCCTCCGCGCAGCGCGGAAGCTTTGACGTTTCATTAAACTATTATTGAAAGAAGACGATTCGTTATAGCGTTCTCGAAAATTATCCTCGTTTGAATGCAATTTTCCCCTCCCGCGCGAAGCGCGGAAACTTTTACGTTACATTAAAATTAATAAAGAAAGAAAACGATTCGTTGTACCGTTCTCGACTCTTAATCCTTGTCTTAATTCAGCCCCCTCCCCCCGTCTCGCGCGAAGCGCTGAAGCTTTTACGTTTCATTAAATTATTAGAGATAGAAGACGATTCGTTGTACCGTTTTCTATACTCTTAATCCTTGTCTTAATTCAGCCCCCCCCCCCCTCCGCGAAGCGCGGACGCTTCGACGCTTCATTAAATTATTAGAGATAGAAGACGATTCGTTGTACCGTTCTCTATACTCTTAATTCTTGTCTGAATTTCAAAGATGTTTTTTGTCTGCTCCTTTTTCTCCCTACGTCCTCTTCCTTTCCTCTCCTCTCTATTTTTTTTCTACCCCCCCCCCTGGCTACGCGCCTGCGGTCAGATAAACAAATTTTGATACCTTGTCCGACCCGAGAAGCTCAGGGGTTTTAGGCATTTGATTACGGTCAGATGAACATATTTTTATACCTTATTTGTGACACTGGCAGGACACTAATTGGCGTGAGGTCCAGCGGGCGAAGCCCCCAGAAAACAGGGGTTTTAGGCATTACATTTCCGTCAGATTAGCATCCAGGGGAGTCTAGGGCCCTAGGCGGGGTGCAAGGGACGGAACCCCGGAAGCTCAGGGGTTTTTAGGCGTTTAGTTTCGGTCAGATGAGCAGCTAGTTAACTATTCTTTCTTTCTTGCTCTCTTTATTTCTATTTCTCTTACTATACCTTTTCAAAAAAAAGTGGAGGGGGGGGGGGGGGGGGAGCTCGAGGCTTGCGATTCCAGCCGATCCCCGGGCCTTAACTTTTCTCAAGAATCATATTTCTTGCCTGGCTGTAAATTTAAGAATTTGTCATTTTCCAACAAACGCATACAAAAGTATAATTTACTAAAAACTGAGGAAAAATCTCGGAAAGAATTCAGCATTATTTGTAAGCCACCGTTATGGAATTAGAAATAAACCACGTTTGAATTTGAATTTCCCCAAGCCACCCCCCTATCAGTACGCCAGTGCCCCCCTTTTCTTCTTTCTCTTTTTCTTCTTTCCCTTTCTCTCCTCCTTAAGGTTTGCCGAGGGGGGGGGGGGGCAAGGGCCTTTCGGTCCCCACCCCGATCCACACGTTGTTGGCGGGATTAACCGGAACTGATCTCCCGTTCTTTTCACCCTTTTTTTTTCTTCTTCCTCTTTTTTGTTCTCTTTTAGCTCTCCTCTTTCCCTTTTTCTTCTTTCTCTCTTTGTTATAGCGGGG